TCATTGACAAATAGTCCATCATGTTCACAAAAGAATGCCATGTAGCCTAAGAATGAAAAGCACCATAGTAATGTAGTGAAATTATGTTTTCATTATTTCCTACTAGCACAATGAAACCAAGTCCAGGATTTGTTGAAGTTTATGACAAAATCCCTATTTAAGTCAATAAGCCACAGTTGCAACTTAAATGAACCCACAATTAAGTTCCATCCAGACTAAAAGGAACTTGAAATATTAGATACGTTATCTGTTAACATCAGATCAAATGAATAACAGATTCAGCTGTGCAATTAAAGAACCACCCACTTACTTTTTATTTTCAAAGAACATATTTTTATGTACTTGTTACTTTCAGCAATTTCATGACAGAGACAGAAAAGGAACACAGAAATGAGAATCAGATACTGAAATTGCTTCTCATTAAAATGACTTGCAGAATTTGCAGGTTTGTTTACAAAAAAGGCACAAAATATTCATGTTTATTAAATGTACATGTAACACACTGAAGCAATGCTGGGGGGGAGCATTAAGGCAAACAGGTTATATTAGAAGTTTACACCCTTATCCAATGTTAAAATTGCACATTCATGCCCCGAGGTTCATGTAGGGCAGCACTAACACAATTGGCTTGCTGCCAGTCAGCATCCTGGTACAATTCAGGATGCTAGTTCTAAGCCTTACACTTCAAGGCATGGCTATCTCCAAGACTACCTGCTTCAAAGTGAACCTGCATATTCTGTAAACTCTGGGAAAGAAACCCTGCTGAGGGCCCCATTTCTGAAAAAATTCTGCCTGGAGGAGTACTGGTCTGCCATATTGGCAAGACATCCTCAAGGAAAATATACAGGAACCATTACCTGGGCAAAAAAAAGGAGTTAAACATGTTTTAAATCAAGAGAATAAGATGACATTCGGAAACAAGCAGATGCTTCCCTTATTTATTGGATGAGGAGAAGGTTCAACACAATTAGACTTGCAAGATTCTGATATTATAACCACTTTCCATAATAGTTATAACCTTTCTATGAACTTTATTTCCTGGTTTGGTCTACTAGTAAAAGAAAGCTCTGCACCAGGGCCTGCTTAATGGTGGTCTCCCTCCCCCCAACAACTTGCTTGCTTCTACATGTAATAATTGTGTATTCCACAGCTTCCAAAAGGAAAAAAAAAGAAAGCTTGTATACAGTATATTTGCAATATACTGTATATTGCATCACGGTTCCAATGCTTTTAATTTTTATTTCTGTTGAATGTCACTCTGAGCCACCCAGAGTAGAGTGGCATAAAAATACCATTAATAAAATGGCAATGGAGCCTCAAAAGTCTTTAACATTTGGTTAACAAAAGTCTTCTTCTATCACATCACAGTATCTCAGATGATAACCTGTCAAGAGTCTCTCAAAAGTAATACAGTACGAGATTTCTCAGGTTTAATTCCAAGCGATTTTTGTTTTAAGTCGGCTATAAATCCTGCAGTTATCAAATAAACCCAAACAAACAAACCCTAATTGCTTTAAGTTTTATAGCGGCCCAAACAAGACTTGATTGCTTTCATCATTGACTCCAATAAGTAGCACAGGAAAAGCCAGGAATGCTCAGCAAAAGGCGTCTTTCGCTCTTCTCAACCAGGCAAGGCGAGAGGAGGGATGCCCGCAGCTATCGCCTCCCTCCCCGGTTCCCCCATAGCCCCAACTTTGGAGGCAAAGCGCGGCTCTACGAAAGGAAGCAGAGGCTACAGTCTCCCCTCCCCAGCGCCCGCGAGGAAGGAAGCAGCCCATCGCGGCACTGCTTGACGTGGCCTTGAGGATGCCACAGGTCCAGCCTGCTTCAGATCTGCTGCGGCTCGGCAGTCGCAGGGACCCGGCGGATGCCATCCTCGCTTCTACTTACTGCTACATTCGGGATCGGCGCAGCGCTTGTATTCGGAAAACCGGCCGCCCGGTTCTCGACTGGCGTGACTGGGAGCCACCGGGATGCAAAGCAGCATTGCGATGAGCGGGAGCGCTCGGGGAAGACGCCGCCGCGCCGCAGCCATGTTTTAGTTGACGAGGGCTGCCGAGCTGGTGGAGGGGGGAAGTAAAGCAGACACGTCAGCAGAGCCGCCCGAGAGAAGGATATGGAGAAGAGGAGGAGCAGCAGAAGCTGGAGCCGACTCGGTCTCTCTCCCAAAGGCGGAGGGGATGGAGGCGCACCACGCCCCGGCTTCCCCTTCCGAGCATCCTCAGCCGCCCACCAAAGCCCAGAGGAAGGAACGCTGTACCTGGCTTGCTAAGAGGCATTCAACTGTTCATCCCCAAATTCTGCTGCTATTGGTATTCCAGATAGCTAGCTAGAGAGACAGACAGACACATAAACATACTCTATATATTCCATATAAATAAGTGAGGCAAGGCTTCCTCTGATATGGCTTACAAGCAATTTTTTCCCCATCCTCTATTATTAAAGAAAAGTTGTCTCATTGACTTTCATCACACATTTATAGGAGGAGAGCTATGTTACAGTCCCCGCAAAATTGGAAGTCTGTTAATAGTTCGACTAACAAATTTTACTAAAAGACAAGCTTTTGTGAATTGCAGCTCACTTCATCAGCTGCCTAAAGGTGTTAGACTGATGTAGAACTTAACATGTTGCAATTACTAATTTATTCAGTTATAATGTATCTCACATGTAAGGTGCATCTGCCAACCTGTTCCCATTTCTTTTCCCCAGATCATTTCAAATCCTATATCAGTTTTGCCCCTGTATGCATTCGATTAGTGAACTGCAGCTCACAGTTGTTTTAGTCAGAAAAGGTGCTACCAGATTCATGATTTTTCACTTGTCAAATAGTTGTGAGCTTAGGTCTTAACTTACTGAGCCCTGGGTAACAAGCCAGAGTCCCACAATTTATTTGGATTTGTTTGTTTCCCTCAGTTAAAGTCTCAAAACATGGATTTTATATCTGAGGGATCTCTCCCAAAAGAAAAATGAAAAGGGAGTGGGAGATCATTTTTCAGATACAAGTGGTAAAACAATTTAGATTGAATTCTGGGAGTTGAGGTCCACAAGTCTTAAAGTTGGCAAGGTTGAGAAACACTGACTTAGACTAAAAGAAAAGAGAGAAATCCATTTTTTTAACCTCTGAAGAATAACTTTTCTGCACATTGTCTAAGACAGTAGGCTGCAAGACAAATAAAGCCTTCTCCTCTGGCTTACTGTCTTTTATTAGTTTCTTGAAAGGATTAAGCAGGTGACCTCTGAAGATATGGTTGAGTGGAAAAGTACACAAGAATTAGTGTTGAACAGGAAAATATATTCATCCAAGAATCTGACATAAGAAAGCCAAGGTTTGTTGGATTTGTGTCCTCCCATGAAAGAAGCAGAGAGCCTGTTACCTATGAAATGCAATTGTGTTCACCTTTGGATGGTTGGCAGAGGAGCCCTTTAAAATAACAAAATGTGTAAAGCAGACAGAGTTCCTGGTGCCAAATACACACTTTATGACTGTGTGCTATCCACTGTATCCTTCTGATCATTGCTATTTTCTTATCTGCAGTTACTATAAATAATTTTAATTATTAACTAATATATAAAACATCACATTTATTGTTTTATTTTATTTCATTCCAGGGAATCCTCAGTGTGAACCTGAACATTCTGAAAATTGCCTACTATTCCATTCCTTAAATGTAATGTCTAAATATAGTATAAAAGTAATTTTCTTTCAGCTGGCTTACTTTTTTGTTGATAACCAGGATCTTTGACCTACAACTGGGTTTTTGTGCCATACAAAGCGGAATATTTGCTGTACATCAGGTTCTTCATTCATCTGGATAAATGGTACAGAAGTGGAAACATGATACAGAACACAAATCCACAGTTAGTGTCAGTAAGTTACATAATAAGGCCCTTGGAGTGCTTTAGAATCCAGAGATATCATTGCTGGGTCTTGATTAGACAAAGAATTATTTACAAAGTTTCTGGTTCTGAGTCCCAAATCCATTTTACTTTGTAAGTATACTGAAAAGTCCCTGGCATGCAAGTTCCTTTGCAGACTTTGGCACACATCCATGAAATTCCTCTATGGCTACTTTTGTTCTTTATAGTTCACCAAGTTATCAGAGAATAAGCTTTACTATACAGCTGTAAGCTAGTTTGACTTTTAATGTAGATAATGATTAGGATTTTGCCATAGGACTAAGAATACCAAAGTTCAAGTGGAAACTCACTGGATTACTTTGGATCACAATAAAATAAAATTCAGTTTATAAGTAGGGAAACCATACTCTGTGAAAGAATGCATGCAATCATACAATCCTGTTTTCCCCAAGTACATGTAATATGTAAAGCTAGAATAGTCTGAGGAGAGAAAAACAGCGAGTTAACACTGAACATGCTGAGCCAATTAACATTTAAGCATAGATGGAAGAAATTTTTTCGTGCACAGTGATTAGATATAAATGAATGGTTAAATATTAGTAGAAAAAACTAGTTAATATTCTAGTCCCAAAGGAACTGGAGAATGTGGATTTTTAAGGATCACAGCTGAAGGGAGATAGTAATTCTGTCTGTATTACAGTATATTGCTTGAAACAAGTTTAGCTTCACATACTTTTCTTGACACCAGCATACATTAACCATTGCCTTCTTTCAAAATATTCTTAATTTAGCCTTCAGCCCTGGGATTTCTGGGTGATGGCCTGACCCTGCTTCACTAGGCTTAACCATCTAAAAAGGCCTCTCTACAAAAAGCATTTTCTGGAAATGAATCTGAAGTGGTGCACTTATATTAGCCTAGGTGTAAATATTTTAATACAGTATTAAAATAACTACAGTCCATAATATAAGACAGTACTGCACAGTGGTGAAAGACAACCTAAGAAAAAAGCCTGGGAAAAAAACCAAACTATTTGTCAACCTATTAGATCTTGCTTTTTCTTCAATTTATCTAGGTTCCAATTCTGTTATGTACCGAGAGACCACCAGAATCACTGAAAAATACGTAAATGATGAACTGGTATTATCTTTAACAAGGCTCAGTTTGCGAGCATAAAAACGCGTCCAGGGATTCCAAGGCGATGAAAGGACACCGGTAATTAGACACCAATTAGACACCAAAGGGAAAGGATTCACGCATGTGCAGGTGAATTTGATACTTTGAAAGGCGGAGAGTATCACGCAGAAAATCGTTTTTCCTGACGCCCAAATAAAAGATGGCGTTCGCTGCAGCAAAGCATCGGAAGTGAAAGAAAAGGCGTTGTCGTATAGAATGTAACGCGCATATTCTCGGAACCGGAACGAAGGGAGGTGGGAAGAAAGGAAGCTTCCTGTTCTGGTAGGTAGCGCTATCCTGAGAATTCTCAGATTTTGCGCTTTCATCGGCTGTTAAAAATAAGAAAAGGGAAGGAAACAATTTGTCTTACGAAGGGTGTGTAATGTGTATGGGTATTACAGCGTAACCAACGAATTCATTGACCATTAGGTAAGCGACGCCATAAAACACACCCTTCACAATAACTTTATAACTCAGTTGTTATTTCGTATTGTCGTTTTCCTTCCGCTCGTAAAACAAATGCTTAGAAAATGTGTCCTGCAAAGGCCAATTGAGTTTCCTGTTTTGCGGCTCTGGGGTTGCTGGGTGATATTGGAAAGACACTTTTTCTCTCTCCATAAGCCTGTGAATCTTATGCCTTTCAATTACAGGTTCTGTGAAACAAGGTGGGCTCTTAACTCCTTTCAGTCACATTATCTTGTACTTGGGAAGCACTCTCTGTTCAATGTAATTTTGTACTTGTAATAATGTAGAAATTTTTAAGTGCCACCCACTTCCCTAAGAGTTCTGAAGGTGTTGCAAGATGTAGGAAAAAGATACATGAAATTATTTATGTAAGGCACACTTAATGATTTCTATAGGACCAATGCTTTTATCAAAATGATGAAAGGAGCCTTGCATTTGAGGATTCAAGCTGCATCCTTTTCATATGTGCAAACAAAAGACTTCACACATGTTTAGAAAGGTGGCTTACAAAGCTGCAGGGCACATTACATCATTTGCCCCCTCCTTCCGGGTTTCTCTGCAAAACACACAAAAGTGAATACAGTAATATTGAAAGCCCAGGGAAAACAAATATTTTGAAGTTCTTGAATTGTTCCAAGGAGGGCGATTGTTTCAATCCCAATGGCAATTTATTCTACAATATGGTTCCTACCACAAAGAAAGCCAGATTGGTTGCTTATATTCAATTTATTCATAAAAGTCCATTGATTATCTGAGAGCACAGTAGTTTGTCCATGAATTCATAGCCTTGCAGGTATCTTGCATCTAATCTATGTAAAATTTTATAGACTACTGTGAGCACCTTCAGTTGTGCTTGAATGATTTTTGGTAGTCAATGAAACTGATTCAACATGGATAATGAGGCATCTTGAACAGGCTCTCATGCTAACGTATTGGATATAATCTGGATGTCTTCAAAGCCACGGAGAATAGATTGTAATATTCAAGTCATAAAGTTAGTACTATCTGAATCATTTAGAGTAGATTTGTCTCCATCTAATTCAGTGGTTCTCAACCTTTTTAATGCCGCGACCCCCCCCCAACCAGTCGTAAGTCGAGGACTACTCAATTGGTCGTAAGTCGAGGACTACTCAACTGGTGCAGCACCGTTTGCAGACTGGGACTTTTGGCGGGCTCAGCAGGGCAGAGACAGCCTGGACAATTCCTATTGGCTTTTGAAAGCCAATAGAATTAGACTCTATTCAAGAGAGTCTATTCTATTGGCTTTCAAAAGCCAATAGAATAAAAGGGAGTAGCACAGCTAAGGAAAAGAGGAAAAAAATGGCAGACTGCGTTGTTTGGCGACCCCCGTGAAATGGTCGTTCGACCCCAAATGGGGTCCCGACCCCCAGGTTGAGAACCACTTATCTAATATATCAACTTTATTATGTAGTTATCCAGATCATTGGTGGATTGAAGAGGCTGTTTATATTGTAAATCTATTTCTAGAGGGAACAAATCAAGAATAAACATCCCATAGCAGGTCTCTCTGTTTGATCCACCTTTAAGAGATATTGAAGCTTCAAAAGACTTCTTTGAGAATGGCCCAAAATTTCAGACCTAGGTATTTGCTGGAGTTTGGTGCTCATTTACTGTTTTTATTAATGATTATATGATTATAATTAATATAACCCAACTATTGTCCTAAGTATTTTTGATTCTTAGTTAATAAGGTTTCCTGATATTGCTTTATTTGAAATATGTGGCATTTTTCTTAATGGTTAAATGCTGATGTATGTAAGTGTATATTTCATGAAAAAAACTATTTCTGGGAGCCAGTTCAGGTGAAGAGACCTGTTAAACACATTTAAAACTATTAATGTTGCTGATTTTTTTCTAAACCATATAATGTATATTTTCCTCTTTACTGTGTTTTGCAGATTATTAGGTTTGATTTATTTATAAGCTTTACACTATTGTACAAGTAACGGGTTTTCTTCTAAATATAGTCATAGAAATGGATAACTTTGTTGAAGAACTGAGACAAGAAAGAAGGTCTCTGTCCACAGGAGAAACAGAGGATGAATCTGCAGCCAATGCTCTGGTCCCAGAAATTTATTTGCCTTTATTGCCAAAACATTTCAACCATCCAAGTAAGTTTTTACTGACATGATGGAAAGTAGAGATGAAGGAAAGCAGCAAAATCCTGGGGTCATTCTCTCTCCTTCTCCCATATACACCTTCATCAGCCTGCAGTATATGGTAGTGTTACCTTTATCTTTTGCTATGAACTTGTTATAACCAATTGTTTTCTTCAAAAAAATTGCATAATATATCTTTTGGGTGCCACTTTGAAATACAGTTGAGGAATGGTATGTTGAACATTAACCTAACATGGAATTCTCGTTTATAGAAAAACTAGCAATTAGAAAGATGAGTTCCAACCTAGCTGTTGCCCTGATACTTTATTTTTTCCTTTTTGCAAAGCAAATTCAATTGGGTGGCCTTTACCAGCGTGCTCTGCTATAGTACATATTTTTATTTATTCATTTGCTGAATTTGGGGGGGGTGTACAGTTGCTAGTTAACTATTACTGTTATTAATGTGATAGTGACATAGGATACTTAATAGGATACAGACTGGTAGTCGAAAATCACATATTAGTAACTTACAGTTTCTTCCTGCAATTCTGTGGCCAGACTTAGCATATAATTTTTATTTATTTGCATCCCATCTTTATTATTTTTACAAATAACTCACGGCAACAAACTTATCCAACACACCTTCCTCCGCGTATTTTCCCCACAATAACAACCATCCTTATGAGGTAGGTTGAAAGAGAGACTGACTGGCCCAAGGTAACCCAGCTGGCTTTCATGACTAAGACGGGACTAGAACTCACAGTCCCCTGCTTTCTAGTCTGGTGACTTAACTGCTAGGCCAAACTGGCTAATGTATCTAGTAAAGCTTCATCTGTTACCTATTGATCAGATTCTTCCATTTGTTCTGTTTCCCCAAATTCCCTTGTTGCTTTGGGACAAAATGTGAGTTCTTGGAGCAGTGGGGTACATGGAAAAGAGGATAGACCGGAGAATTAGTGGAAAGTTAAAGTGGCATCTGTAGCCTTAGATGTATTTAATAAAAGGGATCCTCTTTTGAAGCCAGTAAAAGAAGTTCTAGAAGCAATTAAACTGTAAGTAGCTTACTTGAAAGTCTTTGAAGAGAAGAGCACTGAACTTGAAAGGATATGGAATTCAGAATTTTTTAGCTGAGTCAAAGACCAATCACATGATCTGTCTAAAGTTAACTGATTGCAGTATTATTTTGTACTTTCAGATGACGATTGATTATCAAGATACTGTGCTTTTATACACTGTACACTGTTTACCTTAAAATTGATTTTTGTATAATTGAAAAATAGGCTCTGCACACAGTTACCTATGTCATAGCCACCTCTGGGTTTTTCTACTGTAATGCGCTCCACATGGGGCTGCCCTTGAAAAGTATCTGGAAGCTTCAGTTGGTTCAAAACATGGTGGTTTAGTGCAAATCTGGATTCCTCTTGTGGGAGCTGCTTCGGTTGCCACTTTGCTTCTGCATCCAATTCAGGGTGCCTGTTATTACTTTTAAAGCCCTATATGGCTTGGGGCCAGGTTATTTGATGGACCATCTTTTCCCAGTAGATCCAGTTGATCTACTTGATCCACCAGAGTGAGGAGACAAGGTATGTTAGGTCCATCTAGAGGGACTAAGATGAGGGGACTTTTCTGTGGTGGCTCCCTTCCTAAGGAACATCATCCCCATGGAGATAAGATTGCCCCCACCTTGATACTCTTTTGAAAGTCCCTGAAGATATGGTTTTGGCAGCCACCCTATGGATCTCAGGATGACTTGGAGCCCATTAAGTGATTTGTCTGAATGTTGTTGCCAGGAAGGTAGGAATGTATTGTTTTGTATTTGGGGTCTGGTCTTTGTAAGTCTCCTGGAGTCAAAGTGAGTGAGTTGGGTGGTCTTATAAATCTTTTTAATAAATAAATAAATAAAATGATCTGGCACTTTAAAGATGATAATCAGCATCTTGGATTGTGCTCAAAAAAAATTGGGATTCAGGGCAGGTCACCCAGATGTTCTTAATATTCTTCCAATAAGAAATATGCCTTTTTATTTTAATTCCATTGTAGGAAGGATTGTTTATGTTAATAACATTTGTGCAATCACCAGAAAAAAAGCTAAAATTCATAATGCTTTTCAGTTGATGTGACACATCCTAACCTATGCCAGGAAAATCCATGAATTTGATGCTTCAGGATACTGACAAAATTTCTGAGATAAGATAATGCCAAATTGATGCACAATATATTCTTGGAGTTCACATTCCAGACATGAATATAAATTCACATTTTCTCTGTAAATGGCAAACGTAGCTCCATAAATGCTTTAGGTATGCATTATTTATAAAACAAATAATGTTTTCTCATGTTGGTTGAAGCAAACATGGCTGTGAAATCTTCAGAATTTCAGAAGGTGAAAGAGGATTGTTTATGCTGTATCCAAGATGCTCTCTTACAAAGTCAGTGGCAGAGGGCTGCAGAATTAATGATAAGCTACTTGGAAATGCTGGAAAATACAACTGCAGAAAAAAGGGTGACAGCTCAAGAGGTAAGTAAATTAATTAATAGAATATCTTTGAAATGATTGGAAATATATCATTTCTTTAGCATGTGCCTCTATATAATATAATTAAGAACAGGATAAAAATGTCTCATTTATGCATTGTGTCGTGCATTTAGATGTATGACATGGGACATTTTTTCATAAATGTGGGATTCAAACCTTTTTTAGGCCGTAGGAACCTTTGAAAATTTGAATGTATGTAGTGAGTGCTCTCACAAAATGTCAGAGTAAGTTATAATGGGATTGTCTGTTCACAAAAAAGTTACAAACAATGCAGCCAATCATGAAATACTTATTTAGTTGACATAAGGCAGGCATGTCAAACACAAGGCCCGGGGGCCGGATGCGGCCCACGAACTGGTTTCACGTGGCCCACGAAACCATCCTGGAAACAGTGAGGGAACGGCCCCTGCTGTCTTGGCCCTGGCCCAGGCCAGCCGGGAGCCAATGTACAATTTTGTGGTGGCCATCTATGCTGAAATGCATTCAGTCTTAGCTCCACAAGGCCGTCTGGAAACAGTGAGGAACCAGCCCCTGCCGCGTCGGCCCCACCCCCTTGGGTGCATGCTGGAGAGGTGTCACCTTTTGTGAGGAATGAAGAAATGCACCATCGCCTGGAAGTGGCCAGCAAATGGCCCTCGCCTACTTCATATATCCGGCTTGATGGGCTCTGCCCTGGTCCCACCCCTTTCTGCCAGAGACCCTCAGATCTGTCCCACTCCTGCCCAGGCCCCCCGAGGCACCCTTGACACGAATGATGTAGAGCTGGCCATGCCCACCCAGTAGGCCACACCACTCTATCCACACCCACCCAGTAGGCTGCACCCACCCTGGCCACACCCCCCCGCCCCCCCGAGGGCAACCACATTTTTCTGGATACCTAAGCAACTTTCTTAAAGCCCTATCTTACAGTCACCTACCTTTTTTATTTTCTGTAATATATGTTGGGTCTATATGGGGTCCTGTATTCTATGTAAATAAAGATGATAGAGGCTGGTGTTTTGATCTGTAGAATGTCAGATCTCTCTATCTGTCTGTCTACCTGCCTATCTTATGGCACAGCTCATGGGGAAGTGAATATTGGAAATATAGTGTTCATAGGTATTGGGACTTTGATCAAGAAAATCAAAATGGCAACCTTGACCACAGGATTGACTTTGCCATGTTGACTTTCTTGACTTTGCCCCCTGTGCATGTCCTTGCTCATGGACATCATGTTAGTGATTTTGTTGTAAATAATTTATAAGGGTGCACCAGTAGTCACAGTGCATTTGCTTTTAGTACTGTGGTTTTATGATTTGCTCGTAATGTATTTTCTACCTCATTAGGAGATCTGGAGAATAGGAACTGAAATCCTGCAGCAGCATCCGCAAAGTAATATAGAAGAGATCAATCATTTTGCAGATCGGATGAAAAATTTAGGAGTCAAAAGATATTTAAAGGTAAGAAAAAAACTTTTAAGTAAAAATAACTTTAATGCAATATTTTAATATTGAAAACATGTTTTATTATGAGAATTCCTACTGATTCCTTTAAGAATATGATGTAATCTTAGAAAGGTCAAATATAAAATACATTTATAACCACATTGTCAAAATAGTTAGAAGCCACAATTCCTTCCTTCCTTCCTTCCTTCCTTCCTTCCTTCCTTCCTTCCTTCCTTCCTTCCTTCCTTCCTTCCTTCCCTGTTTTATTTTCTTATTTTACTTTCTAATATTTGTATTATTTTACCTTGTTAAAATTTCTTTGCTAAAAATATATTAAAAAAGAAAATATACTGTTATCATAAAATTTTAGTATAGATCTCTACATTACACTTCTTGTGTGATATTTTTGATAAAATATATGGCTTTAAATTTTAACGACACAGAATTGTATTTTAATTATGGCTTTGGAACTATTTAAAAACTGAGTAGTTCCATAATTGATTCTAACTGAATACCATAAGCTTATTTGTTCCACAACCTGGAAAAACCACTCTCATGTATCAGCAAAAAAGTGTGATTATTTCTATAGTAGGAATCTTTGATTTCTTATAGAGTTGACTGTCTAGCGTACCCATACACATCTGCAGTTGAAAGTGGTTCCTTGTTTTAAAACAGAATAGTTCTAAAGACACAACTCATATCTGAAGTTATTGGGAACTGCTGCTTTGTTTATGTGTATTGGTATCCAAAGTTGCTGCTTCTGTTCAACCTAGTAAACAAAGCTCAAATTACAGATTTCTTTAGAGCATGCCTTCCACCTTTTGTGCAGTGGATTTCTGGATGAAGCCTATCAGAATTTGATCTTGGCTGAAAGTTGGCGATATGGAGAAGAAACTGTTGCTCAGGAAAAAGAGCTGAAACTCGTTCAAGCTTATAAGGGATTGATAGGCTATTATATGTGGTTAAAAAAGAAGACAGAGCTTTTGGAGCTGGGTGAGTATGTGCCTGTAGATGCCACAGTGGCAGCATGCAGCAGTAACTGTTATAGTTGTCCGTGAATTTTTCAATTCCATTCATGAAATATGAAAGGTGAGACAAGGCTTTGGCTGAGTCTTCTCTGGCATGTTTGCTAGGAAGGAAGTTCTAGAGAATTTCATGGAATTAGTACCTGATGAAGTATGTAGAAGGTTTTGAAATTCATTTGGTACCTTCCTTAACAATGGGGATGGCTAAGGATTACTGTATATGTTGTTCCTCCTGTATTGCAATTTTTAAAAAAACTGACCCTGGAGAACTCAGATCAAATGGCTTTCTCATCTGGCTAATATTAGTTTGTTTGCTGATAAGCTCTATCAGAATTATTGGCCTTGGATAATCATAGTATTTAATTATGATTTGGAGCCATAATCAGGACTGTCAAAAATGCTGTCAATATGGTTTTGTTGATAAGCTAAATTTTTACAAAGGAAAGTGTAAGGAGAAATCATAATAATCTGTTAGTGATTTTGCAAAGGCACAAAATGAAATAGGGAAATGCTAGTTGCTCAGTTCACCTATGATATTTTACCACAGTAAGTATTAAGGTTGAGAACTGGGAAACTGTGAGCATCCTAGACCAAACTAAGTCTAACAATGCTAGCTAGTGAATTCCTGGAAACTTGGCACTTGAACAAATCACCCATTAGTGGACACAGAGAGATAAACCATATTTATACACCATCCAGAAGAGACAATAAAAAGCTAAGGAAATCAAAAGACCAGAACATATTCTTACCCACAGCCAACATTCAGATTGGTAGGGATCAGCATAAGACAAAAGATCAGGCAGAAAACAATACTCTGACCAAGGAACTACCAAAAGGAAAATCACTCCCCCACTGATACTCACAAGGCAAGTTACTCTATATAAATAAAGAACAACTCCCTTCCCAAACTAGCAATGATAATGTTACCTAGTTAGGTAATAAAATGTCTGTAAGCAAACAACAAAGCTCAGAGAGAACTAAGGACTCCACATTGTTACATATAACAGTAGTGGGAGAAGGTAAACACATCTGAGTTGTGTATTTCAAAGAAACATTCTGCCATCTCCAAAAGATATATAGATATATTTGGTTCTGAACTGATTACCTTGGGATGCTACTTTTGAGTTTCATAAAAGAGATACTGATCATAACTTACCAAGTATATTATTATGGCGAAGCATTGATGAAATATTTTGCCAGCTATGAAATGGAATGTTTTTTATCATTCTCCTTCACCATTCCTTTTATTGTTTGACTTCTTTACTATAAAAAATATTCAGGAGATCTGAAATGGCAGCTGTTGTATTGCAAATATGACATTTTCTTTCGTGTGTTCAATTTGAATTACTATATTCTTTGACTATCTCTTTTTTTTTAAGCTTTTCTTCCTGGAGGGTTTTTGAGAAGTTGATTTTAAAATTGAGGCTAAAATCATGATGTCATCTGTTTCAAATTGAATTTATGAGATGGATGTCTTGCCTTTCACAGATGAAGACAGCTGTACACAAACTTCTCTTCAACAGGAAATGCATGGCTTGTACCAGCAGGCTAAAGTCAGCCTCAGAGAAATAATCAGAATTCCTGGTGTTTGGGATCCTTTCGTAATTTGTTATGTGGATGTAAGAGCACCTTTTGTACAACAAACTTTCTGTGTCACATAATCTGGATGGCTGTCAGATGGGGCAGCTTTAGAGAGTCATTAAGTAACTCAGTGGTAGAGGCTTTTGCAGAGATTCAGAAATTTGTGAAAGTGCTATAAGCTCTACCATCACACAGCTATCTGTATAGTTAATCATAAAATAGTTATTGGATGGCTGGTATTGTCTTATGCTTAGTTTCATGGGCACATGTCCAACATTACAAAATTATATATTTAGTTCAAATGTTGTAAAAACACACAAAACAACCCTGATACATATTCATTTGTTTGATTTATATCTTACCTTTTGTTCAGGAGCTTGAGGCAGCATATATAGTGCTCCTTCCTCCCATTCCCCTCATAACAACCACTCGGTGAGGTAGGTTGAACTAAAAGAAAATGACTGGTTCAGAATTACTCCATGAGCTTCTATGGCTGAGAGTGGACTATGGCTGAGAGTGACTAGGTTTACATGTTACACTAAGCCATAATGTGATTTGTTTGTTTCTAGCTTAACATATTGTGGGAACCAGCCATTTGATCTATAAACCAAAGTTTATGATTCCACATATTTTTGTGGAACCAATCAGTCATGGGCTGGACCAGAACCTGCGGATTGTACTATTAAGAAACTAGATTTTAGGAAATATTTCCTGATGATATGTGGACATGTGACTCAGTGGAACAGTGGAACAGTTGCCTTATGGAATGACATGTTCTCCTTCAATGAAGGCCTTCAAACAGAGGCTGGTGATTCTTCTGTCCAAACTGCTTATTACATAATATGTGCCATGATACGTACTTTTCTCATCACGCATACACAGATGATCCGTTTTCCATATTTATCATTGTAGCAAAATCTTCCTTGATGCTGCAGTTCAGGTAGTTGACAATAGATGGCCCTATGGCATCAATTTTCAATGGTGAGATAAAAATTGTAAAAAGAAGCAAGGAAGGCAGCAGAAGAAAAAGGAAAGGGAAGTGGGGAAGTCTGTTGGATAATGAAAAAACAGAAAAACTAAATGGGAGAGGGTAGAGAAATACTGGGAAGTTTTTGTGAGCAGGAAATTGGAAAAGTATTGGAGAAGCAGCAAGTGGGGATACAGGTAGCTGGTAGTGCAATCAGGAGTTGGAAGAGAGCTCAGAGATCATTACGTCTAACTCACTGTGCAAAATTTGCTAAAGCATTTTGGACAGATGGCTATCCAGCCCCTGTTTAAAGATCTTTGCTGAGAAGGAATATATAGTTTCAGGAAGCAATCTGTTTCATTGCTTGAACCAATCAGTAATTTTCTCTCAGAATCTGAATTACTTTTCCTGTAGTTTTAATCCACTGAGCATGGTCAAGCCCTCCAGAGCAACAAAGAACAAGTTCACTCCCTCCTTCATATGGCAGCTCTTTAGTTATCCAAAGAGGGCTGTCATGATCTCAGCTCAGTCTTTTCTTATGCCGATTCCTTTAACTGTTCTTCCTAGGACCTGGTTTCCAGTCCCTGTACCATCTTAGTAATATTAGCAAGCAAAAGCTTCAATGGGCACTTGGGGGAGAGAAAAGCTTGTCAGGAAGCCTCAAGGGACACATACACTTCCCCCCCCCCGAACTGCACCTGGAGCCATATGTTTTTGCACCTTGCCTTAATGCAGTTTAAAAAACAATTGCACTGTTAAATTACTTTTACTTTAATCTCATTTTGTTGCAAAACAGTTTGGTACTACTTTGTAACCTTGTATTTGTTTTAAATGAATAGCTGAACATTTATGTTCTTTTAGTTGCTGGAACATTACGAGGAGTACGAAGAAGCACGGGAAGTGTTAAGTGACTATGCGTATAATTCCAAGTTTCCTTCCAACCCTAATGCCCATGTCTACTACTACCACTTTCTAAAGAGAAGGGGGGAATCCAGGAAAACCCAGATCTCTGCACTGCAGGCAAGAATTCTGGAGTTTTACTATTCTGTTTGTTTATGATTCTGTTCTTACTCTCTTTTATCTGTGAATAATGAAGAACACAAACTGGCTAATGAATGTTTTCTTGAAAGTTGAATATGTCTAATATAGTGTACCAAATAGCTTGCCAAAATCAACAGAATTTAACAACTAGAGGTAGTCCTCAGCTTACCCCTGATCATTTTATGATCCTTTGGAGTTACAACAGCCTTGGAATGGTGCTTTATGACCCATAAAGCACTTCTGGCTGTTGTAAAATATCACACACAAAAACACATACACACAGACATACACACACACATACACACACAGAGAGACAAAGTCATGTAATTGCATTTATGGTGCTTGGTAGCCGACTTGCATATATGATCAGTTGCAGCATCATGTGGCCATAGGAACGTGATTTGTGATTTGTCACAATTTTCAGTGGGGTTCTTTTTTGGGTGATTTCTGACAAAAAAACACCCCTTTGGAAAAATGGATACATTTAATGATTGTATTATTCCTTTAAGGATTGTGTGATTCACTTAACAACTACTGTGAAAAATGTAAAAAAATTTATATAGGTCTGGTGGTGTGGGTGTCTCGACTTAACAACTGCAGTGATTTACAGCTGGATTTCTGGTTTCAAGTTGAGAAATTTATTTATTTATTGATTGATTGATTGCCTGTCTGGCCATGGGGCTACTCTAGGTGGCTTATAACAGTAAAAAAGGAAGAAATGAAAAGAGTGTAAACAGTACAGAAATAAGATAATAGAACAATGAAACAATGAGAAAGAACACAATGAGAATACATTAATATGAAAACCAAAAAAAGATGGATGGGTGGACAGCAGAAAACAAGAGGGGGGAGGTGGAGTCTGCCATCAACCCAGCAGCCTCCTTCAGAGTGGAACTTCCCCGTTTGGACCCTGGGCCAATCAGCAGAACCAGGTTTTCAGGCTCTTGCAGAAGGACAGGAGGGTGGGGGCAGACCTTACTTAGAGGGTGAGATGTTCCAAAAGGTAGGAGCTGCAGCAGAGAAGGCTCTTTTTCTGCATCCTGACAGGCATAGTTTTTTGACTGACTGGATCCAAGTAGGCCCTCTTTGCTGGCACAAGTAGGATGGGCTTGTCCTAGCAGGACAAGGTGGTTCATTAGGTAGTCTGGACCTATGCCATTAAGGGCTTCAAAGGTCATAACCAACACCTTGAACTGCACTTAGAAGCAGACCGTGAAGTTCATGGAGCAGTGGTGTAATATAGGTCGTCATAGGGGCCACAAAGGCTGCTCTTGCTGCTACACTTTGCACCAGTTGAATCTTCCAAATAGATTTCAATGGTAGCCCCATGCAGAGAGCATTGTAGTAGTCCATATGACAGATGACCAGGACTTTAGTAACTGAGTGCAGGGAGCCATGATCCAGGTAAAGTCATAGCTAGTGCACAGATTGGGACTGTGTGTAAGCTCTCTTAGTCACGAGCAGGAAATGTGAGGCCAGGAGAACCCCTAGGTTGCAAACTAGGTGTGAGCAGGGCAGTGCAACCCCATCCAGAATGAAGGATGACAAATACTCGGATCCTGAGGCTTCTTGTACCCAAAACCACTCTGTCTTGCCAGGGTTCATTTGAAGTCTGCTGTCCCCAACCAGATCCTTAACAGCCTCCAGGCATTGCAAGAAGGCAGAGACAGCATCACTCGGGTTACAATGTCTAGAGATGTAGAGCTGAATATGACCAGCATATTGATGATGTCTCAAGCCATGGTGACAAGTGATCTTACCCAACAACTTCATGTATGTTGATCTAAGTTCCTACATTCTTAACTTAAGCTGGAACAACACCATCAGGGTGGCACAATAACGTAGAGGTAGTCCTTGAATTATGACTTATGATCACAAGTGGGACCATATTGCTAAGTGATGGGGCCATTAACTATGACTGATTTTATGACCATTAAATGAATCACATAATCGTTAAGCAAATTTGGCTCCCTCCTCCCCAATTGACCTTGTTGGAAGCAGACTGGGAAGATTGTAAATAGCAATCACGTGTCCCTGGGATGCTGCAGACTTCATAAATACATACCAGTTGCAAAGATCATGTGACAGCAGGGACCATCACAGGCCATTGTTTTCAGCACCATCATAATTTCAGATGTTCACTAAATGAATGGTCATAATTTGAAAACTACCTATACGCAGCAACAGAAATTCTCCAAACCCAGATTGTTTTTTTTAAGAATGTTATCCTGTTTTATCGCAGAACTGCTAATGCACAATTTGCTCAAGGGAATACAGTGTCTTTACAGTAAATAGGAACTTGGGAGTGTGGAGAGGGGCAAATGTAATGTCTATTTGCAATTTCTTCAACCAAATATATTTTTTTCCTAGGCTTGAGCAATGATGCTGGGAGAAGGCAGGGCTGCTTTAAGAAGTTGCAAACATGTACCCCTGGGCTTTCCAAACCACCTTTCGTATTTGTAATTAAAATATTGCACAGTCTTTTAGATGTAGATAATCACCGTCTTCTGTGCTGATATATTCCCTTATACTGTGTTTTTCAAGTGTAAAATGCTCAAACAAGTACTTTTTAGAAAACAAATTAAATGCAATAATTGCACGACAACCCTAAAATATTTGTCATATAAATTTGACACTATTATTATAGTAAGAATGCAGTGCCAGTAATCTTTGCAATAACTGGAATAGATTAATGGGCTGACTTCAGTTTCTATGCACCTTTTTTGCTTAATAAAATATAATTTTTTGATGCCAGAATACGTATTTCAAACTCTTTAGCGTGGCATGTACTTTACACCTGATACACAGATAATCCTTGATTTACAACGACAATGGAGCCTGGGATTTCAGTCATAAGTTGTTGCAGTTGTAAGTTGATGTACTACATAAGCAGACTCAACCTTTTTAAGATGGTCATTAAGCAAATCACATCATTTTCTGCTGGAAAATGGCAAAAAAAAAAAAGTAACAGATTGCAGTCATGGGATGCTGCACTGGTCATAAATGCAATCTCATCATTTCACCCATGTGCCCAAAATGCAAAAATTTGATTCTGTTTGTGTGTGTGGGGGGGAATGTTAACTTTGAGATTGGGCTATAAATAGCTTTTCTCAAGCCTGTTGTATCTTCAAATTAAGACTGGTTAAGGATTGGTGATAAGTTGAGGACTACCTGTAATGTGCCTTTCACTCTGAGGTGAAACTGGCAGTCTAATTCTGTCCTCTGGTATAAACGTCTGCAGGTATCTTCTGTAAAACCATTGAGATGTAAAAGTGCCTAGTTTTGCTTTCCAACATTCACCCATTTGCCTGTTTCTTCCTAGATCCTGCATGAGCTTGTTCCTTCCCATGAACTAATGCTGGAATTTTACAACTTGCTTAGAAAATCGAGTGAGTCTTTTTAAGGTATCCCAGCATTGAACTCAGATTAGTTGCTCTGTTCCTCCCTTGAGCCATAATTAAAAGAAAAAGTTTCAAGCAAATCCTAATGCAAATAAAAGTTTACGACCAAGAGTTCCTTTTACTATCTTGGACTTATCTCTTGGAGGAAAGCAGAACAACCGTGTTCTACCTGCATTGGTTACAGCCTGACTAAATTATTGCAAGGCATTCTGTGTAGAACTGCCTTTGTTTTGAAAACATCGCTATAGATCAGGGGTTCTCAACCTTGGCAACTTTAAGACTTGTGGACTTCAACTCCCAGAATTCCTCAGCCACAAAGCTGGCTGAGTTGCTCTGGGAATTGAAGTCCACAAGTCTTAAAGTTGCCAAGGTTGAGAACCCCTGCTATAGATGATAGTGCCTGGATGTTCATGAAAGCCAAGCACACTGATTAAATTATTCTGATATTGTGCTAATTACTGTTTCCTTTTTTTCCTGGCTCACTTTATCTTATTGGTTTTCATACTAAAAGGCTTGATACCTGAACTCCTATGAACCTGCCCATATCTTGTGATGGGTCCCTCTGTTTCTGGCCCTCTAATAATATCCAGCAAAGGCCTTGTTTTAGCTGGGGCCTGCTATTATTGAATAATATATATCATTGGCTTTTAAGCTAATTTTAAAAACTAGTTTTTATCACATACTTTTTAATTCACTTTATATTGAGTCCTTTTCAATCTCCTATAATTTCCAACTACCTTGGTTAAAAGCTAGGAATTAGTGGCTGACTTTAGAATGGTGTCTGGTTGGGGAAGGTTCATATATAGTATCTTATCATTGCAAATTGAAGAGATTATATCCAATACAATTAGTTGCTAATACTACAGCTGTTAGTGGATTATTGTGCTTGGTTTCAGAAATTGAAAAACCAAGTCTCACCAACTGGAAAATGAGAACTTTTATCTCTTTTGCTTATATTAGAATATTATAAAAATAATGGAATCTATTCTAATTTCAGAAAAAAGGAAAAAACGTAAGTTACAGCTGAAAGTTATTTTTGGAGCCTTGGATTTTGCTGGATGGAAGGAAAACGTAAAAGCTTGGAGTTATTTAGCAAAACAGACAGTAGAAATTCTGCAAAAGTAAGTCTATCGGGTCTTGCAATATGATTATAGCCATATAAATATTTGTGCTATATGTATTGTAAAAATCTAATGTACTTTAATTTTCTTGGGGAAGAGGTCTAGCCCTCTGCATAAAATGGGGGATCTTTTCAGATGGAAATAAGATATTCTTAAAAAATAGAATCTGAAATCCAGAGTTGGAAATGTTCAAGAAAATTTAGCAATCTCCTTAAGTGAGCATTAGGTAATTTTAATAAAATGCACATTTGGGAAGGGTTCTTTTCCCTTAAATTCTAGACTTTAGATGACCCATCCGTACCAGGTCAAAACATTAAAAATCAAAGTAAAAAAATAACTATATTGAACTCAATGCAATTGCATAGTAATGTGCTGAATTTTTGAAAAATCAGTTACATAAGAGTTTTTATTGCTGGACTCCATTGAAAGATTCTAACTGATTAAATACAGGACAAAGCTATACTTGCCCAAAGTGATATCTGATTAGAACAAAGCTGTGTTTACTTGGATTTCCTGGCTAACATTCATCTTGCTTTGCCTGTCCTTTTGAATTTAAGCTAGATTTGAGTTAATTTTTAGCGTGAGTACGTTCATAATTGTATGGAAAACAGAAATGGCCCTATATGACCCAGACTAAATTTTTTGAAGCAATGTATGCTTTGTACCCGATCTTTGCAATTTTTTACAGGTGGGCCTTGAGTTAACTATTCACTTAGTGACTGTTCAAAGTTACAACGGCACTGAAAAAAGTGACTTGTGACCATTTTTCGCACTTAACAGGCATTGCAATATCCCCATTGTCATGTTGAGCAAATTGGACGCTTGGCAACTGGGATGTATTTATGATGGTTGCAACGTCCTGGGGTTATGTGATCACCTTTTGTGACCTTCTGATAAGCAAAGTCAAGGCAGAAGCCAGATTCATTTAATAGCTGCAGTGATTCCCTTAACAACTGTTGCAGTAAGTGGGGCAAAACTCACTTAACACTTAGCAATGGAAACTTTGGACTCAGTTGTGGTTGTAACTTGAGGACTGCCTGTAATAAAGTAGGAAATTCCCCTACTAATATTTGAGATCTATCTATTCAGGTTGTGATCTAATGCAGATACTACTGGGTTTTCTTTAAATGTTTTTCAGCTCTGATAAGCAATTTCACTGGCTCAAAAAGGAGTGGGATATTCGAAAGGACTGGTGGCCGGCTTTTCATTTCAGTCTTTATTTGGCAAAAAGTAACTGGCAGGAAAACCAAAAGCTCACTTGTGAAAAAGTTCTGGTAGCTGGAATACTGCTGGGAAAAGGTAAGGTTTTCTTTCCCTATAAATAATATTTTATTTTATGTTAATGATGATTTCAAATACTATTTAAATAGTGTTAAAAAAACTATTCCTCTTTCCCCATAAAGTGTGCATAGTCCATAACTATGCCATGAAGAGCTTTATAGGTGATTCTCAGCGCACTCAATTGCGTCCAGGTGAGAAGTGAAAACTAGTGCCGCTGTCAAAGTAGCAGTGGTACACAGGCATCATAACTATCTGGGCCACTGTATTCTAGCCAATTGTACTTCTGAGTAATCTTCAAGGGCAACCTCATATAAAACATATTGAAGCAATCTAACTGGGAGGTGACTAAGGAGTCAGTGACCATGAGCTCGGCTTTCCAATCTAGGAACAAGTGCAATTGGCACACAAAATGGAGGTGTGCAAAAGCCCTCCCTGCCACTGCTGCCACTTGCTGTTGAAGCAAGAGCCAAGTCAAAAAAAAAAACCTGGCAAATTTCACACTAATTCTGGTGTCTGATAAGTCATATCCTTCAGGGCTTTGTGAAGCTGCAGCCTGACCATCTTCTCAATAGCTTTCCCTAAAAGGAAAAGTTGGAGGCAGGGTGAAAATGAGGTTGATTTAATAGACAGGTGACCATGCTTAAATTGCTCTTGGTAATGTCTCAGGACCAACAGGTGCAAATTGTCCTCAGAAAATTGAGCCACTTCAGAGGACCTACCCAACTGGGTCTGGCTCAGAGCAAATCCGAATGACTTCATATAGCAGTTGCCTCAAGTGGTCTTCAAGATGGCCCTGCAGATATTTCTCTGGTCTTTCCCTCTCCAGGAAGAACTTGGTCACCTTGAACAGGGCTGCAGAGGCAGTAAGAGCAGAAAAATAGTTATGTTTGGCTGCTTTCCTTGCCACAAAGTAATACCTGTATTTGTCTGGATTTGCTATTCATCTCCAAGTGCCTTTTCTGATGTTTCATTTCCTAGAGTTAACAAAATATGTCCAGTTGAATTGACTAATTGTGTTTAGAAGAGCCCTACTTGGGTCACAAGTTATTTTAATACCATTGTTGTGTCACATTTGTGCTAATGCCATTTCAATTTTTATATATTTTTAGACTGCAAGTACTTTAAATATGTCACAAAAGAAGCTTGCAAAGTTCAGAAGAAAAAGTTCCGACAGTTGAAGACATTTGTGAAGAAACACAACTGGGTCAGTTTAAGATTGGCTGCTACGTGATTACTTAGTGTCAAATCTCTTGATTTTTCAAGGGTGTTAGATGATTTGGATGTCCTGTATACACAAGTCATCCTGACAAGCAATTATTGTAAAATTCAGGTAATTCTTGAGATGTGATCGGTCACCTAAGGGCTATTTGAAGTTACAACACTCCCCTCCCCAAAAAAGCTACATATGATCTATTTTGAAATATGGCTGCTGCAGCACCCCTTACAACTGGCAACAGGGATGTTGCAGCATCCCCCACCTCTCTCCCCCCCCCAATGGCCTGACCCCCTGGGACCCCACAGTGCTTGGTCTACTCCCCATGCCTCCTGGAAGCACCTGCCATTTTCCATAAACTGACAGTTTCTTGTGGAAATGGTGGCTGCTTTCAGAGCATTCTGCCCTGGTCAGTTGGCTGTTGGGAGACTGCAAAGCTCTCCTGGCTCTTGGGAGGCTTTGGCGAAGCCAGCTGCCTGCATGCAAAAGTGGTAGCTTCAGGATTATCTTCCCAAAGGTGGCTTTATCAGGCATGCACAGAGGCTTGTTTGGAAGCTTCTCTGGCATTGGAACATGGCGCTGGGCCTTAATCTAACTGGGCTCTTTCCCCCCCCCCCCCGCTGAGCTGTTTTTGGCTTTGCTGCTTGTCTGCTTCCTTTATGGATCCAGCTGAGTGATGGGCCTTCCCCATCCAGAAGGCACCCCATGCTCCACTTAACAACCCACATTTGTTGAAGGGCATCAGGGAGAGCAGGGATGGGGATTGTTAAGCAAGACTGTTTCGCTTAATGGCCATCCCCTCTTACGACTGTAATGGGCAGGCTCCATTACTGTCCTAGGTCAAGGACTACTTGTATGTATATGTAGAAGAGTTGTATTTTTTTTACAATAAAAATATGCTTCTGTAATAAATCTGTTTCATGAATGAACTTCTTTACTTTTTTATTTATGTTTATGTTAAAATAAAAATCGAGGCTTTAGATTTTAGACTTTTAAAAATTGAGACTTTAGAGGAAATAGACATAATAATTTACATTTCCAAAATTGCACATGCAGTACAACACTTGAAACTTATTTAAAATGTTTATATGTCTGCCCATCTTGTGGCACCACAACTCAAAATACGTTAAATATGGATGTGGCTAGTGTTTATATATAATTTTTGAACAGGCACATGGTGCTCTTTGATGCTTCCTGAAGGCATATATTTCTGAAGGCTTCCTGGTTCATGGATAGCATGTTGTAGTATATGAGGACCAAGCTCAAGAGGCGGGCAGGACTAACCTTGGAAAATGGTGAAGTTAGTGCCTTAAATAACTACACAGTGTAAGCCATTGTGTAAGTTGACTGATTATCAATGCATACATTTATTTATATTTTAGAGAATTGAAACTGTAAGCTGGTTTGAAACACCAAAGAACAGGTTCTTTAAAGAACATTCTGTATAAGGTTAACCTGAAAGAAAGGAATATCATGGACATATATCTATGATATGTTTTAAAAGAGTATTCATCCATCCAGCCCAACCTCTAGTCCTTGGAACTGTGTCATTGTCTGATATGTGACTAGACAAAGCAACTCACAAAGATATCCTGCAGAGAATGTCTAGACGTGGACAAGGCAGCTTCTGCCCTTCAATGAGTGATAAAAAAACATGAAAATGAGTAAGACAGCTGCTACAGAAGGATGACGTCAGTCTTTATTCTTATTGGCCAATGTATATTTCTTCTAGTACAGTTTTGTAAATGAATCCACAACTCTCAACAAACTTATTGGGCAACGGTAGAACTGAATTGCCTTCAGCCACTTCTGGTAACTCCCAGCGTTTCTAAGCAAGCTGCAAAGTTCTTTCCATTTTCTGATATCTATATTAGATGCAAAGGAGCCTAATTAGATGCAAAAGGAGCCTATATAGATGGAAAAGCCTAATTAGATGCAAAAGCCTAATTTTGCCAGATCACTTCTTGACTGCACACGACTCCTATTTTCTTGTGGCTTCAGGCAAGGACATTAATACAATATTGCTTTAGTGTATTGGAAAAAGGTAACAGATATGCAAAGATTTGGGCTTAAAACTTTTTTTCTTTTAAGTTCTAGTTAAGCCTGTATTCAGCTCTGGGAAGAATGGGGGAGGGTTTTGGGGTGGGTTGGGAGGGATTGGGGAAGGGGTTTTTATTGTAAAATCTTAAAAATTTTTAATAATAAAAAAAAGATATGCAAAGAATAACTTTGACCATCATTTTTCATGATGGTGGAACTTGGGAGGCCATTTCTGTGGCTGGCAGACTATGGCATTAATTTTTTTAATTGTTCCACTCTATCATGTTTCATTGAAAGGCTGACTTGGTAGAACTTGGATATTGCCATATGATAGAGTGGGGTTTTGGGGTCACAGAAGGCAAACGAGGGAGGGTAGTTTGATTCATAATTATCCCCATACAGTTTTGAGTTACAACTGGCTCTTTCCTTGATCAGCCTAGTGTAGGGGGTCTGCAATCTTGACAACTTTTAAGATTTGTGGACTTCAGCTCCCAGAATTCCTCAGCCAGCTATGCTGTCTGAAGAATTCTGGGAGCTGAAGTCCACAAGTCTTAAAGTTGTCAAGGTTGCAGACCCCTGGCCTAGTGGATTCACAGAGCAAATTAATTTGCTCCTGTGCAGTTTACAATGTTTTGTAAATCCAACCCATAAGTAACAACAAAAATAGTATACAGTATTTAGGCCCAAGGGCAAAAAAGGAAAGTAAAATATAGCAAGTACAGTACTATCTAATAAAGCAGAGTAAAAAGTTGATGAAATAAAAAAGGACAGAAGATTAATAACTGGTTTAAATCTTTTGGGGGAAGAGTAAGCTGCCAGTTAATTACTTAATTTGAAATCAGACTCAGTCTGGCACCTCACAGCAACCAGAAATGAGATAAAATTTCAGTCTGCCATATACAGAATTCTTGAACTGCTAATTTAGACAGGAGCAGAGCTCAGGAGCAGAGCACTTTATATACAGAAGATATAGTGCACGTGTGCCAGAGGCGGCACTCAGAGCTCTCTCTGTGAGCATGCACACCATGCTCCGGAGATGGCAACTGTCCCTCTTCAACCAGCTGCCTGCTAACTTGCCGAGGTCCATGTGGCTGGATGCATCCCAGCACCCATGCGCTCGCTGGCCTCTGTGTGCAGGGGCCAATGGTGTCAGGCAGCAGCCACCCCGGCCCCTGCTTTCCTTGCCCTACAACAATGGCTCCCCCGCCCTGCCTCGCCTTGCTTTGCCTCATCCCGCAGGACGAGCCTCCTGCCCACTGCCCAACCTGCCAGAGACCACCTGGATTTCCCCCAGCTCTGCCAGGCCCCCACAGGCGTCCATCCCCACGAGCAACATCGAGGTGATCACGCTCACCTTGGCCACACCCACCCAGTCTGCCATGAGCACCACAGCCATGTCCACCCAGTGGGCCACACCCACCTGACACCCGGTGATAAATAAGTGTGTTTTGGGTTGCAGTTTGGGTACTTGATCTCTAAAAGGTTCGCCATCACTGATATAGTGCAACCATTTTTTCCAGAGTCAACAGTTTTCTAAAATCAGACAAAAACCAGATATGGCTAGGTCAGTAGGGAACACATGATCTTTTGTTCATGTGATGCCATAGCTCAGCAGAAAAAAAATCCTGTGGTCCCTTTGCTTGACGAGCATCTCTAGCATACAAAGTACTTTGTGTGTACATGTGTGTGTGTGTGTGTGTGTGTGTGTGTGTGTGTGTGTGTGTGAAGTCTGTTCCTCTCAGTCATTTAAAATATATTATTGTGAGGTTGAAATATATTCTATCAATCTAAAATTGTTGCAGTGAGAAGCAATTCCTTAACAAGTGATTAAAAATCCAATTTTGGTTTCAACATGTGTAGGATCAGAGGTGGAGGGGGAATCGTGTTTCTTTATAATTTAGTCTGGCTAAGCTGAAATAAATTGGAATGAGAATGTAACTGATGGGCATGATTCATCTTCCTTCTCGGCTATTTGGCTGAAGTTTGGGAACCATTTGGAACTGGAAAAAACAGATCCTTCCCCCTCCCCCCCCGTAACCATACACCAGACATCCCTGTACAGTTGCAGCGGCTGTCATTCTTCGGTCTGTCTGCCTATCTGCCTCTTATCATCTCAGTCTGGATGTGTTCTTGAATGAAATCTATGGTATTCAAGGGAGCAGATAAGTTCGTGAAAAAGGAAGGAGGGGGGCGTGGAACTGCAAGGAGGCGGACTTGGAAGGTTGCTTCTCAGCTCACTATTAACAAACTTAATGAGACAGGGAGGGATTAGGGTGGATGTGTGCGCCTGCATGCCTGGAAGCAAACCTGAGCAAACATTGGGCTCCATGCTGATGTATCACAGCTTAGAAGATGAATAAACCCAATTATCCAGCTGGACACATATCAGATTCACATGACCCCAGGAAACCTTCAGGGGAGAAAACTACTTTAAGCCTCCACAGTTCCAGGATTTCTCTCCATGCATCTTATTTCCTCATTTGCATCTCCATACTCCTTTTGCACCATGCTGCAGTTCTCCTGGGACATCCCCAGTGCCTGGATTATGGTCCTCCTTTCCAGCCTCCTTTCCATCTGGAGTTTTGCTCTGCCTATGAAACATTTGGCTGTTGCGAGCAAGAGAAGGACAACCATATTGCTGCCAAATACTGGAACATCATGGATTATATTGATCCCCAAGCCCAAAAACTTTGTGGAGGATTCATCAAAGATATTTTGTGCCAGGTAAGGTGTTGGTGAGTAGCTTCATCTTCCTCATGTGCCCTTATGACGGATATGATTGTCAGCTGTTTTGGCCTTTCTGAGAAATGGTGGGAATGGTAATTTAAGAATTTGCATTTAAGGTTCCCAGGAGCATTTTTCTGCTGTAAGTAGGGTGAGCCTACTGAATGAGCATAAATTCTGCAAATTTGCTTTGCGTGGAAATTGTTGTGTTAGTTTTGTTGTATATCTCTCAGAATAACTTGTTTGTGAGATGGACAACTATATAATTTAGACAGACAGATAGATAGATAGATAGATAGATAGATAGATAGATAGATAGATAGATAGATAGATAGATAGATAGATAGATACAGGGCTTTTTTGTCATAGAACGCCCAGAACAGAGTTCTGGCACCTTTTTTGGATGAAACCTTGTAGGGTAGGCAAGGTGGGTTGTATGACGTGTGTGAGTTCCGGCACCTTTTTTTTTTTTTTTTTTACAAAAAAAGCACTGGATAGATAGATACATACATAGATAGATAGATAGATAGATAGATAGATAACCATATTATAATTGAAAGATTCTGTTACACGACTAAGCCAATAATTTAAGGATGACTCAAGGGTAGAAATTTGCCTTCTGATGAATTCACAGTTCCAAGTAAGAAACTGTAGCTGGAGAGAGTAATGTTCATTTGCTCTTCTCTCCAAAAACGCAAAGGCAGCTTGAAAAGAAAATCAGTGCTTATGATTGAACACTAACACCATTTTATTCCATGATAAACAAATTTTTCAAATTTCATAGAGTACTGATTTGGGGTAAGCCTGTTTGGACAGTGACAGCAGTATGATAAATTATATATCTCTATCTATATAAAGCACTCCACCAGAAGCAAAAATGTTCTCAAATCAGTTTAAAGAATAATAATATAATCACCTCTTGCATAATTGGTCTGTCTATCAAGCTTAAGCCTCCCCTGCAAGACAGCTATGAGCTCAGGAAGAAGATTATGGAATGGCATATCCTGGTGATGAAATAAAAAAGATAAATATTGCATTCTGTTAAAGGATTAAGGTGATTATTTCATGTTCAAAGCCAAAAGACCTTTTTGTGGCTTTTCAAATGCAGCCTGAGGTAGGCAGTTGGCAAATGAATCAAATCAACCCACAGACCTTAGTATTTTGGTTTCTGGTTGCTATAAAGGGGATGTGTAGACTGCACTCTTAATGACCAGCAATAGCCATGCTCCTGAAGACAGTCTTAGATCAAACAGCTGGATTCATGCCTCTAGAACAGGGGTAGGGAACCTTGGCTCTTTTATGACTTCTGAACTCCAACTCCCAGAATTTCTGAGCCAGTCATAAAAGAGCCAAGGTTCCCCACCCTTGCTCTAGAACAACTGTTGGAACAGCCACCTTCCACTCTGCTCCCTCCCCACCTTTCCCTGTCTCCCAGCCTGCTCTTTGCCTTGCCAAAATAGCCATTCCACTGGTGTGAGGAGAACAATGACTGTCCCGTGGAACCCTTCCTGGCCTCCTGCCTACAGTATTCATTGATTTATGGGTAGGAAGGGGTTTCTTCTGTCTAAAGCCAAGTGGTTGTGATTTACCATATGCCAGCACTGAGCAGCAAAAACAAAACAAAAAAGCAAAACAAAAAATATTCTTCGGGCTTGCCATTCCTTCATCAATGACCTATACATGTTGGATATATCCTAATGTTGTTAAGTCAGTATAGAATTGTTTTCAGGATTCCATTTTGAATGCAATCGTACAACTGCTGGACCCTACGTTATTGTGATGCTCAATGCAATTTTGCAATTAATGTATAAATACATTTATTATTTATTTGTTAAATTCGATTCTAGGTAGCTCATGGCATAAAAGCAGTAAAATCATTAGAGATCAAATGAAAATGCCAACAAAATAAAATCACAGTTACAAGACAGGGAGGAGGGGAATGGATGGTGGGGGGAGGTGGGATTGGCTCTTAATTAATCAACCACCTCCAGTGTGATACTCCCCCCCCCCCATAGGGCTCTGGAGCCATCTGGAACAGCCAGGTCTGACCTTGTGGAAGGTCAAAAGGATGGGAGCTGATCTCAGGGGATATGTTATTGCAAAGAGCAGGAACCCCCCCCCCTTTTTTTTAACACACAAAAAATGGATGACATAGTGGTTTTCATTTCAGTGCAAAGACCAACTTCAGAAGAGAAATGTTCTAAGCAGCCACAGTTGGAGAGAAAAGGATTAAGCTAAATCTTATTGCCCATCTGTACCAAGTTTCATTAATATCATCTTATAGCTGATGAGTTTGCATTAAAAATCTGCACTTTAAATAAAATACATTTTAATTATGTCACTGTTGGAATCCCTGATTAATTTTCCTAATACAAAACTCTGATGTCAGTAGTCTAAGCAGCCTTATTCATGGTTGTGCTGTGAATCATGCCATTTTAGATTTTTTATCATTCTTGTTACGTCATGGCACAGCAGCCCTTTCTAATTAGGCAGCTCCAAATCTGTTGGACTTCCAAGTCAACTCCCCAAATTTTCAGCCAGTCACTATAATTCCTGAAAGCTGCAGACTAATGTCATTAATGTCTGCAAGGAAAAATGATTTTTAATCTTTTTTCTCAAAGAGAAATCCCAAAGATTAAAGTATTCTGTTTTAAATCCTTCTTGAGTGAAGTGAATGAGAGTAAAATGGAAGATGATCCACAAGAGAGTTTTGCGTCTTTGAAATTCTATCTGACTCTTGAATTCAAGAATGGAAAAATTAACTGGGGTTAGCCTCAGAATGGGATACTTGGAGGGTCCAGCCCTGAAACTTCATCTGGATTTCTTTGATCTACCTTTGTATATCCCTGAAAATCCCTGGTTGGGGTCCTACTGGCAGAAACATCACCACCAGCATGTATAAAAGCAATTCTCCTAACCTTTCAGCAGAACATTTCTGCATAAGCAGGGGTGATTTTTTTTGTTCATTCTGAATTCAAACCAACAGATTAGGATTGTTCTCTAAAGCTTTGATTGATTAAAAAAAATCTGCAGCTATGTGGGAATCTGATTTGAAGACATTCTTTTGTAGGAAAGGAATAAGATGCAGCATACTTAACACCATCTGTATCATCTAATATAAGTGGTTCTCAGGAAGAAAGAAAGGAAGGAAAATAAATAGATGCTCACACAAGCAGAAAGCGTTTTACAGCAGCTATTTAGAACAGGGGTCCCCAACCCCCGGTCTATGGACCAGTACCAGGCTGCGGCATGCCAGCAAACGGTTCGCACAAAGAAACAAAGGCCCATCCACGGGATGCAGGCAGCACACAAAACCATGCTCTCTCTGGTCCGCGGAAAAACCTCTCTCCATGGAACTGGTCCCTGGTGCCCAAAAGGTTGGGGACCTCTGATCTAGAATTACTGTAGCATTTACACGCTGTGACCACTAATTCTAAATTAAAGATTATGTAGTGGAAGCAACTTTTTCAAATGATCAAATGGAATCATTATACAGTGGAAAATGTGGGAATGAAATTTTCATATGCCCAGTTCTTGTTGAGGGAAAATAAGAATAGTAATCAGAACATCCCTTCGATTACCATCTCACATGGAAAAATGAAAAGCAGCAGAGGGGCTGAGTTTTTTTTTTTATTGTTAAGGCAATTTAATTCTTATGTGAACCCAATGAACTGTCTTAACATTAGGCGTACTTAGTCACAGTGGATGTTACTTGTATTCTTTGATATAGAAACAAAGCAGGGACAAGATTTGGAGTTTAAGCAATAGATCATAAACCTAAGGAAATTGTGGGAAAATGGGTATTAATTTGTTCAGTTACATTTTTGCTAAATAAGTAGCAACTTTGTAGGTTTCACTTATTTAAAATTTTCAAATTGTGTGTATTATCCTACAAGTAACATGATTTAAAAGAATGGAAGACCCATACCCACCAATCTCCTCTACAGATTGGGCATTTGCCTGATCTGTATAATTCGAAAATGTTTAGGGTAAAAAGCTTTCTTAGATCTCTTGGCTCAGGCCTGCTGACCTTGATTGCTCATTTGTTGTCTCAGCCCAATCTCTTCAGGAACCCAGATAATTTGCTTTGCATGGAAAATGCTGCTGACATTTCCCATTAAAGATATCAGATAGCGATTGATGGGAAAGAGCACTGTTACCACAAATCATAATTTAAACATGGTAAATTGGAATAAAAGCTTGACTTTAACTGGTTTAATAAGATGGTTTTTAGGTAATTTCAAAAAGGGCTGTGAAAATATAAAATATGTGAGGTAAATGCAACTGCAATTCATTTGCCCCAAACTCTTCAAATAATACATGACCTTTTCTGGAAATCTCAGGTACTGTGCCCACATTAGAGGTCCAAATTTAATTTAATTTATTTTTTTCACTTTTAGCCCACCTAGGATAAATATAGCATAGTTATTTTTATTTTAATCTTTCTCTTCAAATTATTATCTTAATATTTGAAGCTATAGTAACAAATGCTTTCCAAGCAATCAATTTTAAGTTAATTTTTCATGATATTTCCTCACATTATCTCCTTCCCTACACACACACACACACACACACACACACACACACCTGCAATATTGCCCAGCACCTCATGTTTGACTGTCTGCTGAATATAAGTACTGGGCTCAAATAACACATTCTTAATCTGAATGCACAACAGAGAAGTCCAGATTTAATCACCCACGTTGCAATCAATGGGTTAATGACTATTCTACTGTGTTGGATCCAATTTATTATTTATTCCTCCATCCTGCAGGAAAAATTTAGAAATATGTTTAGATAATTGTGTTTCTTAAGAACATGAAGCCCTGCCGATATGAAATGTCTTTATAACTATTTATTCAAATTTGAGTTTAGCAGATTAAAATGATTGAGCAGATGCAAACAGTCACAATCCATTCCATAGCATTTCAGAGAATAACATAATGTTTTAATCTTTAACAGGAATGCTCACCCTATGCAGCCCATCTCTATGATGCTGAGAACCCCCAGACGCCCCTTCGAAACCTCCCTGGCCTTTGTTTTGACTACTGCTCAGAATTCCATCTCAATTGCCGGTCGGCAATCACACTGCTTACAGATGACAGGCACATTCAAAAATGGTGTGAGAAGAACAGGACCCATTTCTGCAACATCTTAAACATTCAGGACAAAGACTATTGCTTCCCTGATGTACTGAAGAACACTGATCTAAATGATAACTTGGGTGCTGTGGTGGCAGACAAGAAAGGTTGCCTTCAACTGTGCCTCAAAGAAGTGGCCAATGGGCTAAGGAATCCAGTGCTCATGGTGCATGCCAATGACAATAGCCATCGAATGTTTGCAGCTGAACAAGTGGGCCTTGTGTGGGTTTACCTCCCAGATGGAAGTAGATTAGAAGAACCTTTTTTAGACATTAAGCAATTGGTGCTGACTACCCCCTGGGTTGGGGATGAGAGGGGCTTCCTTGGGATGGCTTTCCATCCCCAATACAAAGAAAATGGGAAATTCTACATCTATTACTCCTACCAGGACAAGAAAAAGGTGGAAAAAATCAGGATTAGTGAACTGATGGTCTCCACATCGGATGTCAACAAGGCGGATGTAACCACAGAAAGGTAATAACTCCTTTCCTCAACTTGCTTTCTTCCGGGTCTGGAGGATATATTTGCTCATTTCATTTACATAAAATCTTATAAGACAGGATAGACCAAAACAGAATACTAAGACCATGGATAACCCATTTCAAAATAAATAAATCAAATTAAGAACCACTTATACAAATCCTACAAATGCATGTCATCTATTTTTCTGCTGCTAAGCAAGAGAAGTAACATTGTGGTATTAAGCCAAGAACACATCTATCTATGGTGCACATCACTCTTTAGCCCACATCATTTCAGAGCAGTGGTTTTTAACTCTTTGTGACTCTGAATCTCACTAAAACTCTGATTCATAAACAGGTTTTTCTGTTGTTTTTATTGAGGTATGGCATGACTGATGTTTTAGGGTCCTGATTTAGAAGCTGATCAACCAATGTCAGATTCAGAACTAGGGCTGTTCATGAAGGCACAGAGGGGTCAAAAAAAAAAAGGGGTTCACGAAACCATGTTATTTTTAATCCTGAAACCATGCTTGAATATTCCCTTTTCAAAGACAGGGAGAGTCATGAATCCATTCTGAGATAATAATGGCTTATACAGAAGACCATTCAGAGTTTCAATCATACTCCAGAAGCAGCAGCAAGACTGCTATTGCATCCAGAGTTGTGCAGACTAACAGTTTGGATTCAAAATATATAAAAAAACAATACTGTATTTTCCGGCATATCAAACGACTTTCTAAACCATGAAAATCTTCTCAAAAGTTGGGGGTCGTCTTATATACCCAGTCATCTTATATGCCAGAAAATATGGTACATCAAAGCAAGCTCCCCCGTATCCTGTGCCCCATGCTCCTCACCCCTTGGCACGGGGATTGGCTGTTCGGATGAGAGTTTAAGTGTCCCACATAGCCAAATAGCCCTAGTAAAGTGTCCCTCCGAGAAACAGCCAGGAGGAAGGGGCGAGGTTGGAGTGTTGGCGGACCAATGGTGGGAGAGGAGCTGCTGGCAGAGAGCCAGCCGAGTAAGAATGCCCATGTTGGGTCAGTGGTGTGGGCTTCCCGAGAAGAAGTAGCCCCGCCCCCTTGCTGCTGAAGTGCTGCTCAGCACGTGCAGAAGGCCAGCAATTTTGCAGAAGTGTCTGCCCCTTGGGCGGGGATCCTGCCCCTCCCAGTCTAGTGCGGTGGAGGGAGGTGGTGCGAGCGGGGCTTTTTCTCCCCCAGGGAAACCCCCCTGCCACCAGCCTCTGCTCAGGTGGGCAGCAGGAGCAGCTGGTGGGAGCCGGCGGGCTGCGCAGAGGGTGCCACTTCCTTGGGGTTGACCACACCCGGTGCCATTGCGCTGAGCGCCAGAAGCCCTGGGCCCCTGATGGACGGATGCTCAGCATTTCCTCCTCCGTGCTCGGCCACTTCTTTGGCAACCTGCTGCTATGGCTGGTGCTCTCGCTGCGCAGATGACAGAGCGATCCGCCCATGGGGTGTCGTCCTAGAAGCGGTCTGGCAGGCGCCTCCACCAACGGACTTTAGGATGCGCCGCCTTTGCCAGCCACACCCAATGTGGGCAGTCTTGGGGGTCGGGCAAGTGAGACTAGAGGGTGCTTTCAGATGTCACGGAGAAAATAGATCCAAAGTCTCTACCTGTTGGACAGCTGGGCTTGGCTAGCTCTGTGACCCGCTTTCCTCCCCCCTCCCACTCTCCTTTAGTCCTCCTGGATCGGCACCTGGAAGAATGACCTCAACTTCACCATGGAGATCAACAGCATCGGTAACATGGGGGTGTTCAGTGGCCTCTACAAAATGGCAGTCTCAGCCTCCGACAATTCCATCAGGCCATCCCCGCTGCAGGGCATCCAGCACCAGGGGCCCCAGCCCACCTTTGGCTTCACCGTCAACTGGAACTTCTGGCTCTGCCAGAAGGCCAGGATTGTGTTCTTGTGTCTCTGGGGGGGGGGAATCTCACCTCTGATGGTAGAATATTCTGGGGCGGGGCACAGCAGAAATCTTCTCTGGAGCCCAGCAACAGAAATTCTTTGGCCAGTGAGATCCAAATTAGGCTGCTTCCACTGGAACGAGAGGGGCCAGCTAGTCCCATTGGGGTGAGGCAGTTCCTCATATACTGCAAAGTTTCACAAGTGCACCCCCGTGCTTATTATGGGATGTTACCCAGCTACATTTGTCTTCAGCAGATCAGGAACAAGTGATGAAATATAATGAAATGCTAATGTGTTTAGGACTTACATTACTTTTATTAGAAAGTAATATATATTTTCCGGCGTATAAGACGACTTGCTAAACCATGAAAATCTTCTCAAAAGTTGGGGGGGGGGGTCGTCTTATACGCCCAGTTGTCTTATACGCTGGAAAATATGGTAACACTTTTCTTGAAAATTACAATCTGTCTACAATCATGGAAGCATAGATGCTGATAGACATTGTGTCCTGACCCAGATTTTATCATGTGCCTCTGATCAGCAAAAGAATGCTAATATCCTTTCTTTGTTTAGTGTAAGAAAAGTTAAACAAAAGCACTAAGTTGATAAGCTGTTGTAGATAATGCTTGAATAAATAATCTACTTGCAAAGAATCCTTGAAAGTCATCTAAGGCATCCAACTTTATCTGTTTTTTCTTCTTCCCCTTGCATATTGTTTCTCTTTTCTTCTTTAGGAATCTCTTAGAGATTGAACAACCAGCTGCAAATCATAATGGCGGAGAGATCCTGTTTGGGCTAGATGGTTACTTGTATCTGTTTACTGGAGATGGAGGGAAAGCTGGGGACCCTTTTGGTAAATTTGGAAATGCTCAAAACAAGTAAATATATTCACCTTTGATTGCATTTAAATGTGAATGGTTATATGGGAAGTTTGTTAATATAAACAGTTCAATAAAGTTAATTGTTGTAACTATTGTAAATTAATTTTTATTGAACTTTACTTTTAATATTGAGAGCCAGTTTAGTGTATTAGTTAACCCATCAGGTTAAAAACTGGGAGACTGTGAATTTTAGTCCTGCCTTGGGCACAAAGCCAGATGCATGACCTTGGGCCAGTCACTTTCTCTCAGCCCTAGGAAGGAGGCAATAGCAAAAGCCTTCTGAAAAACTTTGCCAAGAAAACTTCAGGGGTTTGTTCAGACAGTCTCCAAAAATCAGATATAATTGAACCAAAGGGGGAAAAATCTTTCTATCAGTTTTTAAAACCAAAGGGGGAAAAATCTATCAGTTTTTAAAACTATTTAATAAAACTGTTTTAAATATTATCCATAAAATGGCAAGTGTGCGCCTTTCAAGTAATTTTGCAATTTATTAATATAAGCTATTAAATAAAGTTACTGGCATATGCTAATAGTCTCCTATAACAGTGGAAAATATTTATCAGAACATACTGTATATTCAATGCATGGTAAACAAACAGACAAACCAATTAGATTTCTTAATATACTGCTCACATTTAAATAGTATATTGTAAATATTAGTATTCTGTATGTGGAGATGAAGCCTTGGCTTAAGATTTCATTCAGAAGTTGAGGAGTTCCATGATGAAATAAAAAATAAACCAAGATTTTCTCTGCTTCCCAAACCAGAATAAATCTCTATTGACAACTACTCTTCACAACTACTGTATTATTTGCTGAGTAGTATATTATATTATTTCATCTATAGTAGTTTAAACCAAACCAAACTGCTTATCCATTTTTAACTTTTTGTAGACTTAAGTTGTTTGTCCATGCCTTGAACAGTGCCTTTTTATGTCTTGGTTTTGTCTTAGGAGTAGCTTGTTAGGGAAAGTTTTACGGATTGATGTGGATGGAAGAGGTCCCCAGGGGAAGCCCTACCGCATTCCCAATGACAATCCATTTTCCTCGGATCCCAAAGCTCGCCCTGAAGTCTATGCATATGGTGTGAGGAACATGTGGCGCTGCTCTGTGGATCGTGGAGATCCACTCAGTCAGAAGGGAAAGGGACGAATTTTTTGTGGAGACGTTGGCCAGAACAGATTTGAAGAAGTGGATATAATTATTAAAGGAGGGAACTATGGTTGGAGAGCCAAGGAAGGATTTGAGTGCTACGACACAAAACTGTGTCAAAATTCCTCCTTAGGTAAGTATTAATTTCATTGTGAGTTACATAATGACAATAAGGTTATTCTATTCTATTACAACATATCAGGGCTTCCAATAAAATGTACACCAATGTGTAGGCATCTATAGCAGCTTACTACTTACATTAAAACAATAAAAGCAGTGTTACGGCATGAAACCTTTCATGCATGCATATAACATCACGATATACATATAAAAGGGATGTGTGAAACCACTTTCATTATTTTACAGTTCTCCTTCCCCCCCTTGCCTGCTTCTTACATTCTGCTGAACCTGTTTTCTTAGAAGAAAATGAAGGCAAGGCTCAACCTATTGCTGAAAACAGACAAAAGAAATAACTAATCAAAAATAGACATACGTAACTCCACATAGGCAATCATGGCACCACCTACATTTAAAAGTGTTGCAGAAAAGGCTAACCTTCACCAATGCATGGCCCTATTTCTGCCAGCCTGATCCAAATAACAAGTAGCAATATCCCCAAACTTGCCAGTATTTGCTTGACACAAAGACTCATAGAATGCAAGATATAGCACCAGAATATTAGAAAGTGGGTGGGACTATGTGTTCTCCAAATTATAAAAAAAACCTAGTTAGCATGTTTATGTGTTGCTAAAAAAACCTGGCATGGAGCATATAGTGGGAACAGTCTATCAGATCAAAAGTCTACATTAAGCTATCCATTTCCTAAGAGATGCAGGCATCCTCAGGATGTGTTGTGGAGTTGTGCCACCAGTTCCGCCTTTCTACCAAAAGGTGGATCATGCAGCTTGTAACCATATGTTGGTTTGGGGATTTGGCCTTCCCTAGACTTTCTCTGCAGCTAAGATCTTTACTGAGTTTCTAAATGAATGTGTTACTTCTATATATGTCAATCAAGTGGAAAACCCTGCCTATAAACATTACAATGTTTTGTTTACCTCTTAAAATAAATGAGCAAACAAATAATCTTTAAATAGATATTTGGACAGGCCTATTATTTGTAAGACTGTTTACATACTATGTTGCAGTTATAGTTGGGTCAAATGACAAGTGCATTAAGAACACTTAGTGTACTTAATCAGGAATAATATCAGGCAAATAAATTTTCTCTGAGCAACACATAGTAGAAAACAATACCTGTATGCATGCTTACTGCTCAGAGAAATGTGCTCTATGCCAGAGGTTCCCAACCTTTTGGGCACCAAGGACTGGTTACATGGAGAGAGGTTTTTCCGCGGAGTGGAGGGGATGTGGTTTTGTGTGCTGCCTGCATCCTATGGATGGGGCTTTCCTTGTTTGTTCAGACCTGTTGCTGGCATGCCATGGCCCAGTACTGGTCCACAGATCGGGGATTGGGGACCCCTGCTTTACGCTACTATTAATTGTGTACCCTGAAAGGACCACTGCCCTGTTTCTGAGATACTATTCTCCCAATAAACCTTTCTTAACTTGGATTTGTTTTGTATAGCTATAAATCTTGAGGTTCATCTTCCTCTGCAGAAGTGGTGCTGGTTTAGCTATTTAAGGATTGACCCAATGGAAATTTAGATTCTTATTAGTAGATACTAATCAGAGGTTAACACTGACATTGCTCTTGATCAAGATACAGAAGGATCTTGACAGACGTGAACATTGAGTGCTATCTAACAAAATGAAATTCAATGGAGAAAAAGGTAAGGTTCTACATTTAAGCAAGAATAACCAAATTCACAGGTATAGTATAGGTGCTCAATAGTAGTAACTGTGAGAGTGATTTCAAAGTCCTAGTGGACAATCACTTAAATATGAGCCAGCAGTGTGCTGTAGCTATCAAAAAAGTCAACACAGTGCTAGGCTGCTTTAACAGAGGGATAGAATCAAGATCACGTGGTTAATACCATTTTACAGTGCCTTGGTAAGGCCACACTTGGAATACTGCATCCAGTTTTGGTCACCACAATGTAAAAAATATGTTGGGACTCTAGAATGAGTGCAGAGAAGAGCAACAAAGATGATTAGGGGACTGGAGGCTAAAACATATAAGGAACGGTTTCTGGAATTAGGTATGTCTAGTTTAATGAAGAGAAGGACGAGGGGTGACATGATAGCGGTGTTCCAATATCTCAGGGGCTGCCACAAAGAAGAGGGAGTCAAGCTATTCTCCAAAGCACCTGAAGGCAGCACAAGAAGCAATGGATGGAAACTAATCAAAGAGAGAAGCAACCTAGAACTAAGGAGAAATTTCCTGACAGTTAGAACAATTAATCAGTGGATTAACCTGCCTCCAGAAGTTGTGAATACTCCAACACTGGAAGTTCTTAAGAAGAGACTAGATACCATTTGTCTGAAATGGTATAGGGTTTCCTGCCAGAGCAGGCGGTTCAACTAGAAGTTGTTACTATTATTATTACTACTATTACTACTACCACTACTACTACTACTGTTGTTATTGTTGTTATTATACATTTGTTCGCTTCTTTTTAGATCATCAGACAATTTTAGTTGAGTAACTTCTATTTTTTTTTTAACAGAGGATGTACTTCCAATATTTTCTTATGGACGTTCTGTAGGAAAATCAGTCACTGGTGGATATGTTTATCGAGGGTGTGAGTCTCCAAACCTCAATGGCCTTTACATCTTTGGTGACTTTATGAGTGGGTAAGGAGGACAGTTATTTCCTTTTACTTTTAAATACACTAACATGTGTAATACACGAAGGACAAAGTTTATTGGTCACAAATAAACGTTATGATCAGATAAAATTCTATTTATCTTGCCTGAGTATGCAAAACATTTGTTTCTTTTTGACTGTTCTCAGTGTTGCCCATTATGAAAATTATTTATTAATTAATTAAATGTATATAACATCTATCTCACTGTTGAGGTGAGATAATTATGCTTATTAAATTCTGCAATTCCCATCAAATTTCAAGCGGTTGTTTATCAGCATTTACTTCAAACTATCCATTACAGACAGTCTGAAAAGATGGCTGTCCAAGCTATAGATCTTTAGCACATTCAGCCCAAATATGTATCTGGGATTATATATTTGATGATAGTTACCATTAGGTAAAAGCCAGTGACTAGCAAAACATCAAAGTACAGGAAGTGACCATGGTAGCGAAGTTCAACATCATCTTTCTAAAGGTCTTCTTCCTGTTCTAACTGCTGTCACTGTGTACATAAAGTTTTATCACCTAGTTTCTGACAGTTCTCATCAGGCAGTGCTATGTCTCAGTTACAGACATTCAGGTAACCATTCCTTCAAGACAGAGAGAATCATCAGAAAATGAATGTCCTTCCCACGGGTACAAAATCATGGATCTACATCTAAAAATCTACATCATAGAGTCAGTTCTGATAGGGAAAATACATAGAAGTTACTTAAATGGAATAGAGCAATAGATGGCAACTTATTGCCCATCACATCTAACTCACATCATATCTAATTAGTATGTTCAGTAGTCAAGGCTAATGGGAGTATTCTCTAATAGCGTCTGAAGGGTCACAAATTCCCAATTTCTGGTGTAAGGATCAGTAGCTACCCAAAGAACTTGAGGTTCCAAGGGGGGCAAATCAGGAGACTCAAACGGAGGCTTCCAGGTCAAACAGAACCTTATTTGGCCAATAGAAGTTGCTGGGTGGAACACTGTCTGAAAGCACTGGTGGCTGCGTTCAGAAGTGTCACACAGTGGTCAGTTAGGCACTTCTGTTTATATACAGATAACAACCAATCACAAAGTGACACTTATTGGCACACAGAATGTTGATCAATCATCTTTCATTACTTTCCTGCTTTTTCCCCTGTCTCTGGGTCTGTATACGTGATCTTCCTGCCTTCACAAAATGGCATCCCTAAAACAAGCACAGTGTACAGAAGCAAAATGGCGGTCATTATGCTAATAACAAGAATAACCTTTTCTACAATCCCTATACTGGGTAATAGAGAAATATAGGAAGTGACTTATATTGAGTCACAATATTGATCCTTGTAACTCAGTTTTGTTACACTGAAGTTCTAAACAAGTTTAAGCTTTTAGATGAAAGTTTTAAAGACCTTTTGGGTTTTTTTTAGAGAGGCTGCGGGTTGAACCTGGGATCTTTTTCATGAAAGCAGATGCTCCAACACGGACCTATGGCCTTTCCTAAGTGAATGCAGTAGGGTGTGTGGCTCAGGATCACCAAGGTTTAAATTCATTTCTGCTTGAATTAAGAAGGGACCCTCATTTTGTAGATATTGTATGTACCACCATTATTTTTTAAAACTTCAAACTATCACGGGATTGCAAAATAAAAATAAGGTTTAACTTTCTTTCCCCATTCAGTCGACTTATGGCTTTGCGGGAAGATGAGAGAACAAATACATGGAAGAAACAAGATATTTGCATTGGTAGCATGAAAGCCTGTGCTTTTCCAGGGCTCATTAGTTCCTACAGCAAATTTATAATCTCTTTTGCAGAGGATGAAGCAGGTAACCTGTTTCTTAAATCTTATTTTCCAAATCTTAGAAAATAGAGGATCTAATTCAAAGAAGTATATGATTAGTACAGGGATACCTCAGTCACTATCTTGCCAAAATTGAATCTGCCATCTGGTCCGAAGCAATAGAGATGATCTGCTGGGAATCCTACCTGCCATGACAGATTTATGGGTGGAAGATAGAGGATAGGCCTTTTCTATAATAATGTCCATGCTCTGGAGCAGATTTGACAAAGGAGTTAAAACAGTATTATTTTACTAAACCTTTGGCTTGAATTTATTGGGTATGTATGCATCTTTTTATTTAATTTTTATTTACCATGCTTTCTGTTTTATTCTTGCTTTCTTTACTGCCAACATGTTTTAATTGTTTGGGGGCAGTCTACACATATTGTATATATTGCATGTAATTAACTAATTAAACTTGTTCTGCATTTGTGGTGACTTTCCAAAGCATATCTTTGGTCACAGACAACATTTTTGAATAGATGGTCATGCTTGAAAGGTTTAGAACTTGCTGTGGATGCTCTCACAAAATGGCTATTGCAGGAATATTTGCAAAATTACTATTGTGACCAGTCCCCCAAAACCATTTATCAGAATGCAACCTGTTAGGTTGCTCCTGCCAAGCCTTTGGGTCTCACAGATATATTTTTAATATGCTAATTTACCTATGTCTTGTTTCCCATCAAATAGGCATAGTCCCAAAGTCTTGAGCTTCAGCTGCCATCTAATTTACTTCCTAAGGATGCCAGTGGGCTAATGTGAGGCACATAGCTCAACCTAGAACCAAAGATTACACTTGAGGCTGATACTGTATGCCACTTTCCCATTAAAATATGCTTTTAAAAATTAAAAGTATCTTTAAAAATTTAAAGTGAGGAGCAGATGCCAAGAAAAATGTCTGGTCATTCATGCTGCATAGTTCTACACAAAATAGAGCTTTGTTCTTGCTTGTATTAAAGTAGAGGTGGGCAGACATGGCTGACTAGCAATCAATAAAGCCAAATCAACTATATTTATTATTTTACCAATAACTTAAAACCTTCCAGCTTTATATCTGCCAGAAACTGCAAGAACAGGAGTTGGAAAGAAAGACACTGGATGGCTATAGTACTCAGCTACCTTCAGCCTTGATATGCCTATAACGTGAGCCAGCCAAAGGAGAAATTACATCCCAACAACCAATTCAGTCTTGTCCAAAGTAGTCCCATTACTAGTACACATCCTTCCTTCTGTTTTCTCCAGGTGAACTTTATTTTATGGCTACATCTTATCCAAGTGCCTATGCACCACGTGGCTGTATTTACAAATTTGTGGATCCAGCAAGGTTGGTACCTCTTCCAAGATGTTGAAACTTTTTTCTTGAGCTACTTTAAAAGAAAAAAGAAGAAAGAAAGCATCTGTAATTGCTTAGACACTCTCATGAATCCATCTGACTTCAGTTTCATGAATGATATCTGTGGATGAATTTACATTATTGATAAGTTACTCTTTCTTTCTTAATGAAGGAGTGCACAACTTTTATTTGTATGTTTTTTTTTCCTTTGCAGCTGGGAAAGCCTTTTCTCCCCTCACAGAGTAGGGAATGGAAGAGATTAAAGCCATACAGTATTTCTCAATAAAGATGTGTGGACTTCAGCAGCTGGCTGGGAAATTCTGGGAGTTGGAGTCCACACATTTTAAAATGGCCAAGGTTGAGAAACGCTAGATTAGAGAGCACTGTCTGTATTAGTCCCGCACTGAAGCTTCCTGTTACTACAGCTGCTTCTCTGTAAAACAAAACCTGTCAGAAAAAGCCGTCTAAGACTAAAAATGTGAAAACAGATGAAACGTGTTTAGTTATAAACTCTAATTTATACTCTAACAACCTGAAAGATTGTTTCAATGATCTCAAAAATAGCTTGTTTAAAGGGCCTGAACAAATAATTTGTATAGACCCACAACAAAAGCTTTATTTTCTCTGCTCAGAAGTCAAATGAGCATCAGTTCATGTGTGTGAGGGTATGTGGTGAAATCTGTAATATTTTAAAAAGCACCCTATTTAAAAATTATGGGTCACATCAATATATGTTCAACATTCTGCTTTTTCACCATCCTGGTCCATTTGTCATTCTAACCCAAAAGCAAAGAAATTATATTAGTATGACATATGAGTCATCCCATACTGTTGATGTTGGTTAGTTGTCTCAAAGAAGCACTTAAGGCTGCATTAATTGACTCGGCATCTCTCCTCCTACCAATCCAGAGGAGTGTTTATATTTCCATTAACATGGAAATAATAGTAATAGTAATAATAATGATGATAAGGTGACCAACCGTCCTCCTTTAGGGAGGACAGTCCTCCTTTTGTAAGTTCTGTCCTCCCTCGAAAAGTGTCCTCCTACATGTCCTCCTTTTCGATATTTGAAGACTAATCTGCAGGGCTTTTTTTTTCTCATAGAACGTTCAGAACGGCGTTCTGGCACCTTTTTTTTATGGTTTTTTTTCAACTTTTATATGAGCTGTGCTACTCCCCCTATTGCCTTTCGAAAGCCAATAGGAATTGCTGCTGAGCGCAATTTTATTTACAATATTTTTTCTTCAATTTATTTGTGTCCTCCTTTTCATTGTAAAAAAGTTGGTTACCTTAATGATGATGATGGTTCAAGTAATCAGTGCTTTAAAAGAGGCAAGGTGATAAGCCTGGGCCTGTCCTCCAAAATCTGTTTAGTTCATCTCTCTGTGCATCTTGTTTTCATCACTGGAAGCTATCATGTTGTTCCAGTTCTTTCTGTTCTGTCTTGTTCTTATTTTAGAGGATAGTTTTATCCCAGCCAATGCCCTCCAGATGTGTTGGACTCTAATTCTCATCTGAAGCAAGTTATAGTCCAACATATCTCACCAAGTGCCAGTTTAGGGAAGGCTGTGGTAAGCAAAACTGGTCATCAAGGAAAGTTGGCCTTCAGGAGACTCTGCGGGACTGACAGCATGGAAAGCAGGCAAAAATATATCTTTCCATTCCATGTAAATTAGGCGTATATTTATTTTAAAATGGAGAATTACCGTAGAATTTGTCTGCAACTGAGGAACAAGTTTAGGACAAACATGAAAACTCTATTGATAGACTTGAAGTGAAAGCATTGGATATATTCTCCACAAGAGCAAGCCGCAGTAAGAAAAACAGCAGCAGGGGAAAAAAAGCAGAAAAAAAATGATCTGCTGCTAGTTTTATGAAAGGATAGGAAAAAATGAACATAGGAAATGTAATTTACAGTATTCTTTGAAAAAGGGAAGTATTTACATAGGAAATTTCAGGACTGGCATTTGAGCTATCGATTTCAGATGATTACAGGCAATCATTGTTTAATGAACATTTGCAGTTACAACGTTAACTTTATAACCAATCCTCACATTTACAGCCTTTGAGGATCTGTACAGCAAAGAAAAGCTGAAGTAAAATAATAAACTCAGCCAGGATTTCACTTAGCGACTACCTTGCTTGGCCTCCTCGACATTATAGTAGCCCATACCTGTTACCATTGTATGTCCCAACTTTACTGAGAACATAAGAGAATACACTGAGTTGCTGGTCACAATTTTGGTCACTAAAAGAGGACTACCTGTATGTACAAAGCAAAACTAGCATGCTGAGTCTATAGTTGAAGCTACTGGTTTTCTTGTGGAAAACAAAAGGACTTTTACGAATTCCAGAGGGTTTAGCAGAGAGATTTATTGCGCAGGTTCAGAAGCAATGAAGACCAGCAATTCTGAACCCTGAGGGCGGGTTCAAACTACAGTTTTATACTTTTCATTTCTCAGGAACAAAGGAACACACATAGAAATCTACACTGTAATACATTAGATTCATTTCTCACGGGCACACAATGGAGAATCTGCTACATACATTGTATCTGAATGCAATGCACATTTGGTTAGTCACATATTGCTAACACAGCATTACTCCAGTAATTATGCAGACACATCATTATTTTAGTGATTTTTCATTATTATTATTATTATTCCACATTATTCTACATTATTCTACCTTAGTTTTGCTTTTAAATATGCCATAACTTTGAGTTGTTTGGATAGGAATTGTATGTATGCATACATGTATTTTAGGGTATGTGAAAACCTTTTGACTAAAACCTTTGAAAGAAGAAGGGATCAACATTGTTCATTCTATGCAATTGGCATCTGTTGCACATATCCGTACATTTAATTGATAGTAAGTGTATTCTCTTATGTTCTCAGTAAAGTTGGGACATACAATGGTAACAGGTATGGGCTACTATAATGTCGAGGAGGCCAAATATAGGATTTAAACCTGGGAGAGAGAGATGTGGTCCTTCAGAAGTTGATTTATCCCTTCCATCATCCCATGTAGGCCAAGGGTTAGCCTCAAGGCCTGGTTTCCTTTAAGAGATGTGTGTCAACCATGATTGTCAAGAAGTACTATGCATTGTAACTATGGAAACCCACTCTTTGATGGTGAGATGTCATGTGACAGCTCTTTCTAGCCACTTCTGGGGGCACTTGTTTTTTTCAAAATAGGCAGATCTCAAAGGAGGTTTATTTTACTCAGGAACTTTTTCAATCATGTTTATACAGTATACCAGCCACGGGTCTACCTTCCCTTTTTTCCTGTAACTATTTTTTTCTGACAAAAAATCCCCCAATTTTCAAATTCTTAATACATTTTGTGGCTGGATTAATATAGTTACTGCTGTAATATGGTTTGTCTTCCTTTTGGCCAACCTATCTGTCTGGGTTTAAAGTCACAGTTAATTAGCAGAGCATGGAAAATATACAAAAACAGCTATGATCTCATTGGTAGATTATCTAAATGAGGAATAATGTCCATTTTAATTAGAAAATATATCAACAAACATCCTTAATTAAAGCCATTATTCTGTCAAGGAAAGGATTAACATCAGGATTCAAAACAGGGCATCTAGAAAAGGGTCAAAATGGCAACTGCACTATTGAAGTCCACCCTTTTTAGGTATGCCTGACTTTTTTGATACTATCCTTTGGGCCCCATATTCAAAAGGAATAATAACTTTAATAGCAAAAACTACAAAATGTCTTTTTTGCATTTAAATTAAATTCATTGAATACAGTTATTACCTTCTTTGCATTTAATAATTTTCCTGTTTGGAAAGATCAAAAAAATCTGCATCGACTGCACACCTTTGAATTACTCAAAAATTAGGTAGCCCCCTAGGATAAAAAAATCGAAACTCTTTATCCACATTGTGATGCCCAGATGTATTTTTTTGTGATCAAATTTGTGTTTTAGGAGAGCTCCACCAGGAAAATGTAAACAGAAGCCAGTTCCAGTGAAAACAAAGAGCAAGCGGATCCCATTTGTTCCAACTGCAAGTAAGTCAATAAGATTTGGGTTTGCTCTACTGTTTATTTTCACTATGTAATAGTACAAATATTCAGACATACTGAAAGGAAAGATTTATTCAGCTTTCAACACTTTTTTCCAGGTCCCAAGAAGTCAGTTCTTCAGCAAGAAATTGTACATTGTTTCTGTTCTATTGCCATTTCTTTCACATGATCCCTTGTCCAGACAATATAGTTGGTCAATGATTCGTGTGCTTATTTACTGATAACACGATAGCATGATTTGGTAGTGCTTCTTAATTTGTGGTAGATATATCATTGGAAGTAAGGAAAAATAGTTCAGGGTAGATGCAGCTTTTCTTCCCAAATGGGAAAAAAACACTGGAAAGGACAGAGGAGAGCCGAGATGATGGGCAAAGTTACTGATCTCTAATCAGATCCAACAAAGCAAAGGGAACTGAGCATCTTCGCAAGTAATTCCTGGAAACCAGAACTGGAGTAACGTCTGGAGCTTTTGAGTTTGAGAATCTAAATAATTAAATACATTTCCCTCAACTCTAAAAAGAAATTTTCTGACAGTGAAAACAATCAGTGGGATGACTTGCCTCCAAAAATTGTGGGTGCTCCAACGTGGGAGGTTTTTAAGAAGAGATTGCACAATCATTTGTCAGGAAAGGTATAAGGCTTCCTGCTCGAGCAGGGAGTTGGACTAGAAGACCTCCAAAGGTCTCTCCCAAAACCTTGGTGTCCTATGTTATTCTTTCCTTAGGTTTGTTCATTATTTAGTTGTAGGTTTTGGTTTTGATACAAGGAGATACTGTTCTCAGAATGACAAACACTTTCCGTCCCATCAGCTCTTTTTTTTAAAAAAGTGATAACATTGTCATTAGTGGCACTGCATTTTAATGTTCTTAAGTCTTACCTTAACTGATAAATATAATAAAGAACTAAACAGCTTTCTCCCTCCTGTTGGAAAGATTATCTGGTGATGCAAATATCTGTGGTCACATCACATGTTGGTATGGCTGATATGTCTTATTTCCTTTCTGGACTTTTGTTTTAATTATGTAAGACCTATGTTGGAGCTTACACTATAGTCTTCTCTGGAAATATGTCATTGATTTTCAGCAACTATATTGCTGAATTTGGGGCCAAAATAATGAGTTTGAGGGTCACAGGAAATCATGGCTTTGTAGACTATTTGTCCACATTAAATGCTTGATTTAGGCAATACTGTTTGCTGATTTCCTCCCGTAAAGTTGCACTTTTACCCCCAAATATCTACAGATATGGGCACGGCATTTAAAGATGTTTATAAGTTCATAAGTTTCTTTAATCTGCTACCCAGATCAACCTTTCAAATATAATGCCTATGGTTGAATGAAAACATGATCTTACCTTCCACTACTTTTGCAAGTAAGGGAAAAATATGGGAGGGGTGTATTGCTTGCTTTTAGGCAGCATTTGTAACTGGTCAATCTGCTAAGGTGAGTTATGACCTTTTAAACCATATTTTCTCAGAGACTGTGCCTGAACTGATCAAAGAGCGCCTTGCAACCCAGTCTTCCAAAACAGTTGTCCGTTCTACAGAATGTCCCCCGGCTTCTTCTGGGCAGAAACGGAAGAAGCCTGCATCTCATAGAAAATCTTTGACTCATGGCTCAGCAACTCCTACACGGTCTGGTAAAAAGCCGCCAACAGCACAGCAACCCAAAGGCCGGGGTTCCCAAGCCAAATTTGGTGGGCGAACACAAAAGGAGAAAGCACCAGTTATCTCTGGAGCAAGAACTCAGCCCCACCAGAAGAGAAGATCACAGTTATCTGGAGCCCTGAAGAAACCGTCACCATCTCCAAAGCTGAAGTCAGCAGCTAAGGAGAAAACACTGAAGAAAGGAAAGAAGAAAGGTAGGATCAGTGCAAGAAGTACTGTTTGAACATCCAAAATGCTTCCAAGAATCAAGAGAAGGGAATCTGGGTGGGATTGCCAAGTGACTCATTTTACTTTCAAGAAAGTGAATCAGACTAGCATATAGATTTTATACAAAACATTTTAAACCTGAATCTACACAGCTTTTCAGCTACTGACCACGCCAGATATGCTACATACATTTAAACGCTTAATTGTTTAAATGTTTACAACTGGGAGTTTAACCATCCCAGATGTTTTCCAGTTTACTGCTCTGGACAGGTCTTTCTCTGAGAATAGCTTAATGAATTTGAGCAGGCACTCTAGTGAGCACTTACTACAGTCCACCAAAAATATAACTGTATCATGAGAGAATGGATTTGCTCCCTTTTTCTGAAAAAAAACAGACCCTTGATGACTTCCTTGGAAAAAGCATCCCTAAGAATACAGGGAGCTGCAGTTTAAGAGCTCGTTTTTGGCAAAGGAGGAAGGGCTGAGCAAATGAGGAAAGCTGGTTGTATCTCAAGAATGAAATCTTCTGATTTTTCTCCTAAAATGTTTGCATTTTTACAACAGAAATCAAAATGACCAAATGCTACTCAATCTTTTAAATTTCAATGATGCCAACCCAAAAATTGAATTTTTAAAATGAGCGATAGCATACAGTCCAAGAGTTTTTAAAAGGTTTTTTCTCTCTCTCTTTGTATTCTATTAAATACAGACTGAACAACAACAACAAAAAAAGGAAGTGTTTGTGGTTTCTGTGAGACTATTGCAAGAATATAGATGTTAATCAGAGGAAATTTTATACATCAAAATCTTCTCCATCTCTAAAATGCATGTCCCTGTTGGTTTCCATAGTTACAATGCTCTGGATTTCATCTCTCTCACCTTCTCCATGCTGGTGCCTCTCAGATGTGTTATAGCAAAACTCCCCCAATCTTGGTTACATTGCTAATATATGGGAATCACAACACAACATCCATGGAGGAGACTTTGCTTTGAGAAGGCAGATTGCTTCTATATGCTAATAGAGAATTCCCTGTTCAGGTATTGAGCCTTATTAACCAGTCTAATGTTGCTCAGACTATCTGCTAATTTGTGAAAGGGGTGTATGTGTGTTGGTGTTGGTGTAGTAACCTCAAATAACCCCATAAAAGAAATGCAGCGGGAGAAATAAAGAGAGCACAGTTGTCTGTCAGTCTGAGCTGAAACACCTCCTGTCCCCCATGTTGTTGCAGTCCTTGTGTGACCATAGAATCATAGAATAACAGAATTGGGAGGGGCCTTGGAGGTCATCCAGTCCAACCCTCCCACCCAAGCAGGAGACCCCCCCACCACCTCAAACAACTGACTTGTCCAGTCTCCTCCAAAAAACCTATAGCGATGAAGCACCCACTGGATGGGGAGCAGGAAGCCTCCGATATAAAACCACCAGGAGCCCCGGATAGCTGACTTCAGACCCAGTTGCTTTCTGAACCCACCATACTTCACTTTTTCCATAACAGCCTGTAAGAGAAATTGGACTCAGGGATTCGGGCGGAATATAAATCTGACTAATGAATAGACATCCAAATCCTGTCTGGGCGTCACGGGAATAGGGGATGGTAGGCTAAGCATTCCAACTGTGTGCTCAGGAGGCTGATTTTTTTTTTCTTGTTCCACATAAATCTTTCTCGGCTGCCATTGCCTTTTTCACCATATTCCTTGATCAGCAGCCCCACCTGCTGGTCCTAATGTGGAAAGACAACTTACACCACATATTTTATACAACTCGCTCACTTCTTATTGTTCTTCGGACCTAACATTCACTTGGGATCCTAGCTGATTAAGCATCATTTTTGCGCACGAACAGTCGTTCCAGGCAGCGCCCGATTTCAAAATATAGAATAAATCAAAATGTTTTGATTTCACCCGCACCAATTAAGCTATTTGAAAAAAATCTCTTCGATTGTCAGTATTTTGCAATCAGAAATTGAGCATGTTTGTGGACAATAAAGCTGTCATCGACCTTAAATTTCTATATTGAACGTGTTGTGTTAAATTGCACACAGAACACTTTGAAAAAACAACACTGAATAAATGTTTAAGAAAAATGCTAAGGCCCCAGCGAGGATCGAACTCACGACCCCTGGTTTACAAGACCAGTGCTCTAACCACTGAGCTATGGAGCCACCTATCATCTTGGCTTATCTAGATGAATGGTACAGTACTGTTCTTCAAATATGTTCACTCATTCCATCGATTTCTCTAAATCGATGATATTGTGAAGATTGAATTAATTCCACTTTTCAGCCAGAGATTTGAGACCGTGCTGGATAATAAAGTTTACAGAGACAAGAGGACTTCCGGCCTTTTATGTGCTGTAACATGAAACCATTTCATTAAAAACAGGAATAAATACTCAGCAGGAAACCAAGAACGACTAGGTCTGTATTTCTGGAAGATAAAAACATAGAAGTACATAATATCAGAGCTATTTATGACACTTTATTATTATGTATGGGCAATCTACAGTTAGATTCATAGTCTAAGACGAGTGGAAACTTAATAATTCAAGTCCTAACCAAGGACATAAGAATTACTAAGGCAATGTCTAAGAATGTTATAAGCAGTTCCAAGCAGGATTTGTGTGTGTGCGTGTATTCAGGTGTGATAAATTCAATATTTCCACATATTGAGACGCCCTTGAAGTATCGCTCTGAGGACTCCAATCACTGTTGGTGTAACAACGGATTTCTTTTTCATAAGTGTTCAAGCTCAATCTGCAGGTATCAATTTTTTTTATTTTTTCCAATTGCTTTTTCTTAATCCTAGCATCATCTGGAATGAACCAGACTTTCCTCTTGTCAATATCAGGCATATCACAAACAGGATGCCTCTCTTTTTAGATTTTAAAGTCCCACAAGATCTTAACCAGGTCATTTCCCAAAACCTTCCCAATGTGATGGTGCCGGTAGGTTTCACTACATTGAAATCTAAGCCTCGGGCAAAGTTTCCAATAAATAATTCTGGTAACTCCGTCATGCTGCTGTTTGTAGTCACTTTGTAAAATTTTGCTGCAGCTACTGATCAAATGGTCAATTGTGTCAATTATTACAAAGGCAACATTTGCTGTTTTTGTTACATGTTGAATTTTCACTTTCATGCAGTTAGTTAACAAAGCTTGTTCTTGAGTTGCTAAAATGAAGCCTTCAGTTATTATTAATGTTCGGTGCACAGTCAGCCACATGTTTAGACTGAGTTTGGCAGTCTAAGCCCTTCCCAAAGACCATGATGAGGATGATTTCAATAACAGCAGAGATCAATTGAATATTTACTAATGCATATACCTGTTCTCAGATATCGTAAGATGCTGAAGACCTTAATAATGTGATGTGGAGAAGAAGCAGAGAAAGTTGCAGAAAGTTCTGGCAGCTTCTCTGCTTCCAGTGCCTCCCTAACCCATTGCCAAGGGTGGGGGGAGGGGACAGGAGAAAATGAGTTGGGAAAAATCATCTTTTGCCTGATTTCCCCTTACAGGCGAATACAATATATGACTTCAACTCACCTCAGATATTCCTAGAATAGTGTTTCTCAACCTTAGCAACTTTTAAGATGTGTGGACTTCAACTTTACCCAACTTGCCTTTACATATTCTCTCTGAGGCTGCAGTGGGTGTAGTCATGACACAGCAAAGACATTAACAAGAGAGGAGGCATAAGTTATGCTTCTTTAGAAAGAATTATTTCATAAAAGTGGGAAATTATCCCTCTTAAATATGTCAATTAACAGGGGACATGGCAGGGTGTGGTAAAAAAAATAAAATAAAGATGGTGTCCACCATGGTGCAATCAAGCACCACTGTGATCATCTGGGTTGATTAGTGCTCAACTTTACCAACATGAAAGGAAGAGATCTGGGTATAGATCCTTGATTTCTCCTACAGCTGGAGATCTCTTGAGGTCTGTAAGTCACAGATTGCTCACTCCTAGGCTTTAAGTACCAACTAAGCTGTAATAATCAGAATAATTAATCAATTTCAGTTTTCTCTGAGAAAGATTGACTACCCCACTCAAAACCCCTAGGTGGAGCCAAAATGTCATAGAAACAGAGCAAATTAGAACATTAAATATGCTAAGCAGATCAGCAAGGGAAAGCCCCTAATATTTCACAAACTCCATAAACATCTCATCTGATTTATTGGAGGATTTAACTAGTTTGCATTGTTCAGTACTTCTGGTTTTTATTTTGCTGAGTTATACACCTCCTATATATTTGGGATATAATCTCCCAAAGTTAATTGTTTTGAACACTTTGGAATGCATTTTAAAAATTTTCGTGTTTTGATCATAACAATGTAACAAGAGTAGCGCAAGTACACCTAGCTTTCTATTCTTGCATTGGTCAAACAACTGGCTAGGGGTAACCTATCAGTAGGGCATAAACTACAGAGGGTCACCTAGGTGAGAAATGTGATTGGATGGATGGATAATAGAATCTTGGAATTATAGAACTATGGAACTGAAATTGTGGGAGCCACGAGGATCATTCCACACACTTACACCAATTCTCTGCAATGTGCAGGAAAATTAGGTGAACCATCCTAGAGATGTCATAGTCCATCTTCACCTTTAACCTCTAGAAATGAAGAATCCACAGTCTCCATAGACAGACTGTCCCACTGTTGGACAGATCTTATTATCAGAAAAATTCTCTTTATACTGCATTAAATGAAATACATGTAGATCCATTGTTTCTAGTTTCTATGGCATGAAAAGTATTCCTGACCATTTTCCCCTGCAGTACCCTTTTGATTCAAGATGGGGTTGACTTTTAGTGTCCAAAATATGATAATTTGAGCTTCGTTATTGGAGACTGAACTGAGAATTCTGGGTTGATTTGTTTTGTTGTTGTTAGTTGCGAAGTCGTGTCCGACCCATCGCGACCCCATGGACAATGTTCCTCCAGGTCTTCCTGTCCTCTACCATCTTCTGGAGTCCATTTAAGTTCACACCTACTGCTTCAGTGACTCCATCCAGCCATCTCATTCTCTGTCGTCCCCTTCTTCTATTGCCCTCAATCTTTCCCAGCATTAGGCCCTTCTCCAGTGAGTCCTTCCTTCTCATTAGGTGGCCAAAGTATTTGAGTTTCAACTTCAGGATCTGGCCTTCTAAAGAGCAGTCGGGGTTGATCTCTTCTAGGACTGACCGGTTTGAACGCCTTGCAGTCCAAGGGACTCGCAGGAGTCTTCTCCAGCACCATAGTTCAAAGGCCTCAATTCTTTTGCGCTCAGCCTTTCTTATGGTCCAACTTTCACAGCCATACATTGCAACTGGGAAAACCATGGCCTGGACTATACGCACTTTTGTTGGCAGGGTGATGTCTCTGCTTTTTAGTATGCTGTCTAGATTTGCCATAGCTTTCCTCCCCAGGAGCAAGCGTCTTTTAATTTCTTGGCTGCAGTCCCCATCTGAGGTGATCTTGGAGCCCAGAAAAATAAAATCTGTCACTACCTCCATTTCTTCCCCATCTATTTGCCAGGAATTGAGAGGGCCGGATGCCATGATTTTGGTTTTCTTAATGTTGAGTTTCAAGCCAACTTTTGCACTCTCCTTCTTTACCCGCATCAAGAGGCTCTTTAGTTCCTCTTCACTTTCTGCCATTAGAGTGGTATCATCTGCATATCTTAGGTTGTTGATATTTCTCCCGGCAATCTTAATTCCAACTTTTGATTCATCTAGCCCTGCCTTTCTCATGATGTGCTCTGCATATAAGTTAAATAGGCAGGGCGACAGTATACAGCCTTGCCGGACTCCTTTTCCAATTTTGAACCAATCAGTGGTTCCGTGTTCGGTTCTCACTGTTGCTTCTTGACCCGCATATAGGTTTCTCAAGAGACAAATGAGATGGTCTGGTACTCCCATCTCTTTAAGAACTTGCCACAATTTGTTGTGATCCACACAATCAAAGGCTTTTGCATAGTCAATGAAGCAGAAGTAGATGTTTTTCTGGAACTCCCTAGCTTTCTCCATGATCCAGCGTATGTTGGCAATTTGATCTCTAG